GGTAAATGATGCAGAGGTAAGAATAAAGTACATTCCATGGATGGACACCAAGGAAATAACATTAGCTTGTTCAAGTACTAGTGTAACTGAGCACAAAACGTGCGTGGTAAGAAAACAGAGGAAAGGTGGATAAAAGAAATAGGATAGGAAGAGACTTCAGTGTTTAAGAGTCTGTGCAAGTTTGTGAACAGGTAAATCATTAGAACTGAAGCATGTGCCTAAAGACACGGAGGGCTATTAGAGTTCACTAAAACGGCTGATGTGTTTTAATGAATGACTAGACAGAACAGAGGCAGTGGGAATGAAAGAGAACAGATGTGAGACAATGCAGAAAAGGCATCACAAAGGCCAGGCAATTAAAGGACTTTAGGGGCCAGAAAAGGGGGCAGAGAAATTCTGAAGCTTTGACCGTAATTGACTAAGAAAATGAAACACTGCTTACAAAAACTAGCAATATAGGGGAAACAGCTGGTGAGAAAAAGGAAGAAAACAGCTGAATTTTAAATATATCATTTGAAGCAGTAGCAAAACATTTAGGTACAAAGGTTTAGGAGAAAGTCAAATTCAATTATGGTCAGAAATATAAAAGTATGGGTTACTTTTTTTATAAAATGTTTGTATAAAACAGTCTAAATTTAATTTAGTACATTAGGAAGGGAACTTATTCTAATTTACTATCTAAAAAATTACAACATGACTTTTCCTCTTTTACAAAAATTAGTTTCTAGTATTTCAGGTAAAAGAGTTATATATCTCTAAGTTAAATTTTATAACAAGTCAAAAGAATCAGTCCAAAATTATTACTACAGCCCTGGCTGGTTGGCTCAGTGGCTGGAGCATCATCTTGTAACTGAAGGATTGTGGGTTGGATTCCTGGTCAGGGCACATGCCTAGGTTGCAGGTTCATCACCAGCATGTGCCACCCCGTCCTGACAGGTACTGTCCCCCGTCCCAGGTGCTTACGTACAAAGGCAACCAATCAATGCTTCTCTTGCATCGATGTTTCTCTCTCTTCCTCTCTCTAAAAAAGCAAATGAAAATGTCCTCATGTGAGGGTTAAAAAAATGTTACAATTACTACTACACTAAAATTATATCTAATATTAATGGCCCGTTGGCTGAGGCTTGGCAAATTTTTATGAGTTATTTTACTAACATTAGTTGTTATGTGACTTAATCAAATACATGGGTATATTATTTTGTAAATGCCATACAAATTTTAGACAATTTAAAAGTGAATTCTCATTTTTATCTAATATATTACCATTATCTTCCAGTGACTTCATAAAAAAATTGAATAAGGAACATACTCAAGTTTTATGTGACATTGTACATTGAATACTAGTTCCTATTTTCTTAAGGTTCTTTCCACGAACTATGGTGAATTCTGAAGTCAGTAATAAAAAAATTAAATAAGCTCCTCAAAAATCACTTATAATGAGAATTAGATTGGAATACTCAACTTCATAAAAATTATGCTCTAATTATTTTATAATCCCTAAGTATACACTACCTAATACAGAGGGTAGGGCGGTGGCATCATCAGTTTGGGAAGTGGAGGCAACCAGATAGCTAAAGTAGAAGCCAGGTTAATCTCCTAAGGAAAAAAAATTACTAAAGACCATCCACATTGTAGAAAACCAAGAGATGTCAACTGACACTTCCTAAACATTATCGCTAGCACATTTGGGTGACTAAGGGTTTAAGGCCCCAAATAGAGAAATGCTGAGTATCACATTTTACACTGTCTGCCCTACAGTCTCAATTAGTTCCTTTTTTGCCAGCAGTATCAGTAATGAGGTATTCAAATGTTTTAAATAGCCTTTTAAACCTGATACAGCTAATTTATTTCAATATAGCTTTCTAAATGGACATTTCTAACTTAATTGGCCATTTGAGAAAACTCACAACCATTTAATTTTTCCTCAACAGATCCGCCAAGCATTTTCAACATGCCTGAAGCAGATTTAAAACGAGTTTTTTGGGTACTCTCCCTTCCTATTAGTACAATACTTTTTCTAACCACACCAGATTGTAGAAGAAAGTTTTGGAAAAATTATTTTATGATAACCTTTTTCATGTCGGCACTATGGATATCTGCATTTACATATATCCTGGTTTGGATGGTCACAATAACCGGTATGTAACTTAAGTACAAGAGCACAGTTGTAAAAGAAAATAATCAGTTTCATATAAGAACTTTATATAATCACTAAAGGCAATCTAGCTAAGGAGAAAATCTGTTTTTCAGCAAAGAATGAAGAATAATGCTGTTTGCCAAAAAATTAAATATTAATATACCAATCATCCAGGTTTTGTGAGTTGCTTATTACTTATCAACTATAGTCTCACAGTTATACAGCCCAGGAATACCAGAAAAAGGATCATCTTATAAATGAAATCAAATTCACAGGATGGCTTTCTATTAGGCTAATAATTAAGTCACACTGCATGGGGGTCCATAATACACTCTTTATATTGAGTTCAATTACAAAATAAAAAATAGCAAGATGCCAGTATTTTGGGAAAACGATGGGTACTCACTGTTTTTATTTTACTCATTACTATGGCAATACAAACATACTATGAAATGAGTAAAATAAAGTTTCATTTTAGGTTTCTACTACCTTCATGATTGAGATTTAATTATTACTGCTTGGCCGGAATCAGCTCTAGTCCTATAGTACTCCTAGTCCAGAAGGAAAAACTGAATATAAACACAGAACAAAAAAATTCAGAAATTTCTCCCCAGAGGGTAACCTGAATGAACTAGTGTCAGAGGTGAGCAAACAACCTCCTGTGTGCACAAATCACTGGGCCTCTATCACAAACCACTGTGTCTGCTAAATGAGGTCCATTTACTTACATGGAACCTATGGATATTTACATACTACACTGGCAGAGCTGCACAACTGCCACAGAAACCATAGTCTGCAAAGCCTACAATAATTACCATCTGCAAAAAAAGTTTGCTGATCTCTAACTTTTTCCAAATTAATATGAAACTTAGAATAGTATGCTAGCAAAAAGCAGAATATTTCTTTTTCGTTTTTTAATGAATATGAAAAAGTCCAATTATCTTGCAAAGTAAATCTCTCCACACTTTCTCATCCAGAACATACTCGACATTAGGAAAACAGGAAAAGAGCAAAATCACATAACAGATCATCGAGCCCCCCGCAAAGTGATAAATATTAGTGTTATGTATGTACATATGAACTCTGGCCAATCAGTAACAAAAATTATCAATCAATTACAATTCCAATATCAATATATATAAGCATGCAATAAATAGACTAATGGTTTTTTTTAAATTGCTACTTGAAAGAAAGAAGAAAAAATGACTTTAAAGCAAGTTTTCAATTATAACAATAAAACAGGTACATGTACTTTAACTCCCCAATGGTTCTATTTCCTAAAGTGAATACGTTTCTGAAAAATGTTGAACTGACATCAAATTTAACAGAAGCTTAATAAATTGGGACTATGATGTTAGAAAGACTCAAAAAGAACCTTATTTTGTTTTCCTCAGATTTATGGTACTTTCTCAAAGAAAACACGAAAGGAAGGTGTATCACTAAAGTTGGACTTAAAAATTTATACCATGTTAACACATTTAAAGTTTTTAAATAGCTATAAATAATTTGCTTAACACTGACTACATTAAGAAAATGCTTTTAAAGAGAAAAAAATGACCAATCTCATTAGCATACATTAAGCACAGCCTTGATGATATGAAACAGTGATGACAACCAAAACTTCTGTAAACACACTAGAGAAGAGAATTACTCCTTGGTAGCATTTTGTCTATTAAATATCTGTCATTAAAAATCTTCCCTACCCATGTTACTTAATTTACCAATCTTCTCCAAATATTTTGTTAGCTAAAATCTAAGTACATAGAGATTGGCTCTGAAATCTAAATGCATGTATTTTCTTTTTGTTCATGAAGGAAATACCTGAAATATCTGCAGAGAATGGTTAGTGAATCTATGAGATCTGTAACTCATAATATCTATGTTACAGGGGAAACACTGGAAATTCCAGATACAGTCATGGGCCTTACTTTATTAGCTGCAGGAACAAGTATACCAGATACAATCGCAAGTGTGTTGGTGGCAAGAAAAGGTAAGAATTAGTTCCTTCAAGCTGCAGTGCCCATTCTTCAAGCCTGGCTGAACACTAAGCAAAGTTACCTTTAAAAAATATTTATTTTCTCAGTAACATACTTTAAAAAAATAACTCAAGAGGAAGGATTTACTGTTTAATAACAGATTAATTTCATTAAATCTAATTCCCCAAATAAAATTCATCTGGAATGAGCATTAAATTGTAATTAAACATGTTAAATTAGAATGAAAAGAAGTGATCTACAACTTATTGAAAAATGGTTTAATAGAGGTAACTATTAGATAAATAAATGTTAATACTTTAAATACTAAACTCACAAAATTACAAAATACAAATTCAGTAAGACTTTTGCTCTAATACAATCTTCCAAACCCAACAAACAAAAACAGTATCCAGTGTCTTTTCTTTTAAGCTTATTAATAAAATACAGTGTTGGTATGCACATTTTAACCACGTGTGTTTTTTGCAGGCAAAGGAGACATGGCTGTGTCTAACATCGTGGGGTCCAATGTGTTTGACGTGCTGTGCCTTGGTGTTCCATGGCTGACAAAAACTGCCTTTATAAATACATCAGCTCCTGTAGAAGTGAACAGCAGAGGACTAATTTATGTAACCGTCACTCTCAACATTTCTATTATTTTTCTTTTTTTATCAGTTCACTTCAATGGCTGGAAACTAGACAAAAAGTTGGGCCTAGCCTGCCTATTATTATACTTGGGGCTTGCTACATTATCAGTTCTATATGAACTTGGAATTGTTGGAAATAATAAAGTAAGTGGCTGTGGAGGTTAATATTAATAGTGATAGGTGGAAAATGTGAATGACAGAAAAGGGCAGAGAAGGAGTACTCCATTTCTTCATATAAGCCAAATAAAAAACATCCTGAACTTTAGACTCTAAAACTTACTCAGAGTAATTCTTTACCACCAAAGAAAACTAATTTAAAAATCAACCAAAATCACATCTTCATTTGTCTTGAGTCCTTTCTTATCAAGAACAATTACACAGAGATAACAGAAGTTTTTAAAAAATTTATGCTTTACCTAACAATAAATAAGTTGATAAAAGCTAGAGAAACCTGAACAAACAAATCCCACTATGTAGTACTGAAAATAACAAGAAAATGGCTTCTTTTATTAAAAAACAGTATAACCATTCATTTAAACTGAATGACCAGACTTGCTGTCTTTAAAAACCCAAACTTGAGATTAACAAAAATCACAGTATATTTAACACTATACTGTTAAAAGCTGGTGGAATTTTTAAAAGTTCATTATTTACAGCTTTTTTAAGCATACAGTGTTACTTTTAAAATGACTTTTACTAGGAATTCAGCAAAACAGATACAGGAATGTTCCAACCGTGGTTTGAAATTATGCATTACGATCCAAACGAACATCAATTTCTCTGCCACTGATTTTTATGCCATTCATTATTCTGCAGGCTTTTTCAGCTGATTCTGGGGAGTCAAATCTGACCGTTCCACAGCCTTTTGACTTTCCATTCTCCATTTTTATTTCTGCAAACATTACATGGCCTGTAAAAGAAAAATTATAGAATTACTATACTAGCCAGTTTAAACAGGTACCACGTTTCACTACACAGGTTTGAAATTTCTCATTGCCAATGAAGCAATTAGTAACTTGACTAAAAATATCAACATCAATGACTGAAAAACAACATATATAAGCACTTTTCACATCATTTTATATTCTGAATATAATGCAATCATATAAAATAATGAACATACATGTAAGCATATATAAAGCTGGACTCAAATTTGCTTAGGATTTACTGTTTTAATAAAACAAAAATTTCATTTATGTTAAACCCTTAGTTTCTTTAGTAAATTTTATAGCAGGAAGGCAAGCTAGCACAAAATGCCACTAAGTCACCATGCCCGATGACACACTACAATTTTTTAAATTTTTAAATTTTTTTCTTTCCCTTTTTTTTCTTGCTTGTTTTCTTTTTTGATTTTTTAATTTTTTAAAATATATTTTATTAATTATGCTGTTACATTTATTCTATTTCCCCCCCTCTGTTTCCCTCCACCCTGCACATCCCTCCCCTACCATTCCCCCTTTTAGTTTATGACCAGGAGTGTGTCTCAAGTTCTTTAGATTCTGTATTTCCCCTACTATTCTTGCCCTCAAGTTCTTTAGATTCTGTATTTCCCCTACTATTCTTGCCCTCCCCCCTATCTATTTTCTACCTACCGTCTATGCTACTTATTTTCTGTACCCTCTCCCCCCTTCTCCTTCTCCCTACAAATTAAAACAAAATTATTTTTAGAGAAAACTGTTACTTTCTGCCCAATCCTCTCTTCCTTCCCTTTTATCCTCCCTTTTAATTCTTCAACCCTGAAAATAGTAGCAACTGCCCAGAAATTTAATTTTTGCCACGTCACAAAGGGCCCCACTAATTCTGCTTTGCAACCACAGGGCTGAAGTCATTCATTCAATATCACAATTTGAATTCCAACCTAAGAACGGCACCAAATGTGTTATGGAAATAGGCACAGAAGGGACAATGCAGATGTAAATCAATAAAGGTAAAAGCAGTTATCATAACAGCACAAAGAACTTCAAAGGAGACTCCAGAAAGAGGAGAAAACTAGACAGTTATTCCATATACAGTTAGTATCACTGCTGACCCTAGAGACTGATATTTGAAGTAGACAGATAGATGATCATTTGTCAAAATACAAAGGGGCCATAAAAATCCGTGATCCAAACCAGAGTTACCGATCATTACACATAGGAAACATATGTAAAGTGGTACTATTCCCAGGTACACCGGGAGGTATGATCACTCGATCCACAAAGATTTAAGTGGGAGGTTTGTGACTACTTACCATAATATTTCCCTCCCCTTGAAATATTGTAGTTTCCAGATCACCATGGGCTAAGTTTAGTGTGGCAACAAAATCAGAGTGCCAGACATACTTAGTTCACATTTCATTCTTTAAAGGCAGAAAAAGGAAGAAGGGAGGAGGTAAAAGCAAAGGGCTTAGCAAAAAATTCCACAAGCTCTTTTCAGGCAACAGGAACAATTTCTAATCTCAATGCATAGTAAGACTTTTTTCTTTTAAATATTGATCTGATTGATTTCCTATATAAAACATCCTAGACTTTTTCTACTGTTTTTCCATCAATCCTCCCTCTGATAACTGTATATATTTTTTAAAAACTAAAAGTCTGTCACTCACTCAAAACCAATTAAATGGTCCAAGTTAATAAATGTCATGTTGAGCTAAAACCATGATTTTATAACCCATACCAGGAAATCTTTAAATGTTCTCTAAAAATCATAAAATAGGCTCATTCCCAGAGAAAGTATAAAGGTTAAAATAGACCCAAACAATATTTACCCTACAAGTAGTTAAAAAACATACAGAGACACATAGAAGAACCACATTTTCTAATACATCATAAAATGAAACTGGAAAAATTTTAGAAAAGTTTTAAAGGTAGACACAGAGCAATTTCCAGAATCTTCTTACTATGTTGAACGTTGGGATCTGAAAAAAGCAAGTTGAGTTAAAGAAACATACCTTGGTAAATGGCAACACTTTACATTGATTTTTCAAGGGAACTGTGGATAATTTTGAAGGGCTTTTAAGGTTCAAAGTTCGTCCTTATTCTAATTTTACCTAAAAACTTAGGGTTTTTCTTAACATTAAGTGTTCCCCCATAGGTGTATTAACAATAGTAAGGTTCGCTCAAGCAAGTAATTTTTCAAATTTCAAAGGAAAATATGTAATTATCTCTTGCAAAATCTATCTTTCAGGACAAGTCTCTATTTTGTTTTTCTCTTACATTTTGCCTCTTAGTTTAGGGACCATCACTCAGAACCCAAAATTATTGAGCTCACAATTATCTCAAAGCTTTTCTTAGCTAACAGGGTCTCTTAACAAATACTTGAAACTTCTTACAGTCTGAAGACTCAGGGTGCACATTAAGTGGCCTATGGACACATATTTCATGGTTAGACTGTCCCAAAATTCCCAATTAGCATACAACTAGAACAAGTTGTGTGTTTTCTAAGTTTCTTCTTAATCCCATGAAAATATCACATGAGGTATTTTCTTTTCTTAAGCTAAATAACTGAGAAGATTTAGTTTCAACTAATTAAAATCAGACCTCCCTGCTTTGTACATTCTCTGAGGACTTTCTTAAATGATTTAAATATCTACAAATATGTTGTATAATTCCAAGAAAAACAAAAATAGGACCGCTATTTTAGCAAAAGCATTGGAGAAAATAGTATGCAATGAGAAATTAATTGGTACAACAGAATAATCAAACATACTGCTGTTACATTTATTAGTGATAAAATGATATCCTGGTGTAAAAGAAACCTTGCTACTCTACTCAGCCTACTAGCATATTAACTTGTGGTGTGTATTTGGGGAAATGCATATCCAGAAGTAGACCAAATTAAAGGAGAAATAAACAAACAAATAAATAAATAATTCAATGAAACCCACTCCCAAAGCAAAGCTATAACATAACCACAGAAGGAAAAAAAGATGCAAAATCAGATATTCTACAAGAAGTAATTATGACACAAGGGACAAAAAACAAGCTTTTGTTTCTTTACAAATAAAAAAGCAACTATGAATAAACGTTCTTCATGTAGTACTTTACTGTCACTGCATTATTTTTACTGTGAAGTTTTTCTAGAGTCAAAGTCTACTATGAATGCTTGAAGAAGCCTGTGACTTTTAGTAAATAAAATCTAGCAAGTGTCCACTTTCTATGCAATTAACACGCATACTTATGTAGAAAACTACATAATAGAAATCTGTGGAAAAAACTTTATTTGTTCACATGGTTTATGGCAGTAATAATTAAGAGTGGACACTGCAGAGCAGCCCCTTCCACATGGTCACACCATGAGCAATCTCAGCCGTGCCTGCTGCCTCCCGCCACTTCCCAGCCATGGATCCCTCATGCAAATGAGTAGGCAGGATCCAAGCATTCTGCATACCACGGGAATGAGCTTCCTGATGGAGTGGGTGGAGGGCATGGAGGTAAAATATTACCTGCTACTCATAAAGCTAAATCAGAAGAAATTAAAGAAAAAAAAGATAGTAAGAAGCTAGAGGAAGATATAAAGACAGATGAACTATCAAGTGAGGAAAGTGATCTAGAAATTGACAATGAGGATGTGACTAAAGCAGAGACACTGACGCCCCTCAGGATATGGGAGATGAAAATGTAGAGATAACCGAAGAGATGATGGATCAGGTAACGATTAAAAAGTGACTGCCATCGATGCCCTAATTGATGGTGACTACAGAAAGCCATTGACTTGTTCATAGATGCCATCAAGCTGAATTCTCACTTGGCCATTTCTGTATGCCAAGAGAAACAGAGTCTTCATGAAATTACAGAAGCCAAATGCTGCCATCTGAGATTGTGACAGAGCTATTGAAATAAACCCTGATGCAGCTCAGCCTTATAAATGGCGAGGGAAAGCACACAGGCTTCTGGGCCACTGGGAAGAAGCAGCCCATGACCTTGCCTTTGCATGTAAATTGGACTATGATGAAGATGCTAATGCAATGCTGAAAGTAGTTCAACAAAGGGCCCAGAAAATCGCAGAACATCGGAGAAAGTGTGAGCAGGAAAATGAAGAGCGAGAGGACAAGGAAAGAACAGAAAGGGTTAAGAAGGCTCAGGAAGAACCTGAGAGGGAAGAAGCCGGAGGGAAGAAGCCGGAGGACAATGAGCAGTTCACTATGGCTCTTTTCCAGGTGGCTTTCCTGAGAGAATGCCTGGTAATTTTCCTGGAGCAATGTCTGGGCTCAGTGAAATTCTCAGTGATCCAGAGGTTCTTGCAACCAGCCATGAAGGATCCAGAAGTTATGGTGGCCTTCCAGGATGTGGCTCAAAACCCAGCAAGTATGTCACAATACCAGAGTAACCCAAAGGTTACGAATCTAATCGGTAAGTTGTCAGCCAAATTTGGAGGTCAAGCACAATGCCCTTCTGACAGACAAAGCCCTTGCTGAAGTAAAAGCAACTTGGATCACTAAATGCATGTCGCAATAATACCAACCAGTGTACCTCTGACTTTCTCATGAAGAAAGCCGGGGTGCGTTGAAGAGAACCCTCCCTCTGCCCCAAATGCAGCTGTAATATTTGACGGTGGTGTGCCACCACAGTATTCTTTCAGATAACATTTCCTACTAGAAATTACAAAGTGTAAACACTTTTAAATTTTAAAAATATTTAAAAACAAATTAAAAGGGTGTGTTAAACCCTACATTTTTCTTTACTAATCAAAAAAAATAAAAGAGTGGGCACTGTAGTTCTAAAATGTTCTGGCCCTGCATCACGCTAAGCCAGAAAGCCACAGTACAGCTAAAGTGTATACACACGAAGCAAAATTAAAGGACTATGCCCATTTGACTTCATTAGTACAACCTCAATTAATCTGGGGTCCAACTCTGAACGGGTCAGTTCATTTACTGCCTCAGCTTTCTTAAAAATGTATGTCAATGAGGAATTACATAAGGCAGGATAAAAGACCTATTAAATTACACTCACTTCTTACTTACTATTTTATATTTGGAGATATATGAAAACCTTTTTTTCTAAATGATAAAGGCTGAGAAAATGTTGGTTGTATTGAGGGTAATATGACCCATAATACGACATTTCTTAGGCTTTGTAATTATCCCATCAGGAGCAATTAACCACTGTAGAAGTTTAATAAGCAGAGGGCTTGCTGGCAGGCCATTTACTGATACATAATGTCTGAGGGAGATACATGGAGTACCACTAGACTCTTCCTAGGAAGCAACCAAGAAAACACAGGTTCCAGCAAAAGTAACGCCTGCTTGAATGTGGTTGGTAGGGTAGTAATACGGGTGTAATCATTTATAGTTTTAATTTGAACATTTCACCTAAAATGTTATATGCCTGAACATGATATTGTTATGTTACAGAATTACATGGTTACAATTTTGTAATAAAAATGGGGAGTTATCTATGCCAGACCCTGTATACCTGCACACACGCCCTGGGCTCAGGAGGGACAAACAAAACAAAACTTTGCCTTTACTGCAAAAGAAGCTTACTGCTAGCTTGTATCGGGTTAAAAAGAAATTTCCCATACTAAGAAAGAAACACTCTTAAGATTTAATAACAAAGCAATGGGGGAGAAAAATAAATGGCTCAGTTCATATAAACCAGGTAATTTCAACAGTTGTCAATTGCTGGTCACAATTCTGTATTATTATATAACTTAATTTCTTTCCCATCAATGCAGTTCAAGATTAAATACATGAAGATGGTAGGCAATTATTTAAGTATGTTATGGCCTTAATATAAATCTAAAAGCCAGAAGCTTTTACAATTAGAATTGGAAAAAACAAAACAAAAATTATTCCTCTCATGATAACAGTATAGGCTGATCAAAAAGGGACATATGAATAGAGCTAAAATAACAAAGTAGAGAATAATAATTTAACCACTTTTTACTGTCTAAAATGCTGTACAAATTTTTTAAATGTAGATTTGGATACTAGCATTTCCTTGCAGAAAATGTCTTTGAACTGCTGATGTTCTTCTGTCACAACAATACCACTCCAGTTGGACACCCACCCCAAACCCCTGAAATTTGTTGCAAGCCTTGCTCATACCTAACATCAAAAAAACCTGCCTACATAGGATAAAGGACAGTCAACTCAATATTAGTCACATTTTCAATAATGTCATTTTTGTTTGCCCTTCTCTGTTTTCTATCTTGTTTCATTTCTACCTTTTAAAATAATAATATATCACATCTGGAAATTTCTTTTTTCACTGAAACTGCAACAGAGATTATCTATACATTGCTCCTCATTTCATGTATTACAGTAAGGCCCTAATGTGTCTACTCCTCTGTAATCTGTGGGTGGCCAGATGCTGCTTACTCCTTCTGGTAGATACTCTTACCCCTACAGAAGACTACCAACACCTCAAAGCAACTTTATAACTCTGCCTCCTCTTAGTGGTGACTGTTTACTAGTTGACTCACTGTCAACAAATTTTTTTAACCAAAGAAAAGGTTGAGTTTCTCTTCTTTGAATAAAATATTTTTAAAAGATAATCAACAGAAGAAGATAAAAGAATATAATGGTAACAAACTGCCAAAATACAGTATTAGTAGATTTAGTGAATGAGTAAATAAATGAAGCTCTGCTCAGAATGTTTAACTCACCCAAAAATACTTAACAAACTCTTACTATATGTATCAAGGCAATAAAAGGTGCTATGATAAAAGAGACAGTTCTTGCCCTCAACAGCCTCCATCTAGGAGGGAAGGAGACATGTGAACAGTTTACTACAATAGTGTTTCATAGAAAGTACTCTGAGAACACAGTAGACCATAGATCACAAATGACTTTTTGATAAGTGGCTACACAGGCTACTTTTGTGGGAGGACATTAGATTTAGCCTCTTTATGATCTCAAAAGATTAAAGATATATTCCAAATGCTCTTAACTTTTCATTAACTCTCAAAGACTAAATGTATCCTTTTTAGCCCTTTTTCAACATTACCCGTATTTTTCAGACAGTAAGATGCACCTAGGTTTTATAGGAAAACAGGAAAAAATTCTAAAGCAAAATATGTGGTAGAATATTTAATAACATAAATAACAGTATTTCACCAATGTATATATAACAGAACTCAAGATCAGCATTAACAGCCATTATTTCTCCTAAATTTTTTTGGGGGGGTTGCATCTTATAGTCTGAAAACTATGGTATATGCCACCTATATATCTCACTTTGTGATTACAGTCTCTGGGACATCACCCAATACCAGAAAAATACTGGCAGAAAACCTGTCATTTTGTTCCACTCACACTAATTCTCTCATTATCACGCGCGCGCGCGCGCACACACACACACACACACACACACACACACACACACACACAAAGGTCCTTTTTAAAAATACTAAACCACCCAATCTTCTACAGACCTAATACATATATTAAGGTTGTACTGGTTACTACCTGTATCATTATAGCCAAGAATAGTTTTAAAAAGAATCAGAAGGCCACCAGAATGTACCTATGTCTAAAGGGTTCCAGGCAGGGGGCTCTATGCTATTAGGTTAGTTTCCTGTGCTGTGTAGGCAATGGAGTATTATAGAATGGGGTCATCTATTAACTCCCTATCATTTGGAGTTAATATCATTGGGTCATGCTGACAATGTATTGCACTATATTACAAACAAGGAAATAAACATACCAATTCTAGTACTCCCCAGAAGAAAAAAATATTTTAAAATGTGAACAATCATGATATACCAACCTTTTAATAATCAGATAGTAGACCAATCATTTTTTTATCCATAGGAGACAATGACAGGCTCTATTCTACATCATGTTATTTAGTAGTAATTTGCAATGCTCTTGGTCAGAAAAGTAATTCATTTATTTGAAGTAAAACTAGACCTGTCATACAGCCTAGAAATAAGCATCTGGACAGGTAAAGGTCCAAAGACAATCTTAAAAAGTTTGAATTTTTCTCCATAATCACTATAAACAGATCTGCAATCATTGGCATACTTACCACACTGACTGAATTTCTCTTTTAGTTTCTGCCAAGTCAAGTCAAAAGGCAGCTAGAATGAAAAAAGGTATTAGTAACAGATACAGGAGGCAAAAAATAACTTTAAGCACCCTTTACATTTAGTTGCTTACATTTCTGACAAATATCTGGTTGCCTTTGGAGCCTATTCTGTCTCTCATTCCGCTTCCCATCGGACCCGATAAAAATCCTCGATCCATATCGATGCTCCTTTCCAGTATAGCTCCTATACCTGGTCCCATTCTATCAAAGCTGGAACTCATCCGATCCAGTCCCATCCCCATGCCTCCAGTCACACTGTTCATGCCACCCATTCCACCACCTGGATTTTCAGGAAGGGACAGGAGGGTTTGAGAGTTTGGTGTTTTTGTTTTAAAAGCAGGAAAAGGAGAAGGAAGAAGAAAGGGAGAAAGAGGAGGGAAAGAATCATTTTTGAGAAACAAAGGGAGAGAAAATTAATTATGTAATTAGATTATATATAAACATAAAATTAATTTCATACATACAATATAACAATCTTCCAAGAACAGAATTTAATTTGGTATACATTTGGTTAGTTGAATGTTAATGGCTAACTGAATTAATTTTAGCCACTATGTAACACATTATATACATACATGTCTATAAAATCACACTCTAATCATAAAACCCATCATATATGTTATACAAATTTTCTACCAATTACTTTATCCAATAATGTTAGAGTAGTTTTATCCTCATTTTTATTTTCTTATAACACACTAACCTTAATAATTGCTAGAGGAAAGATATATGGGGCAAATTCAAATTATTACAACTCCAGGACATCAATTGTTGCTCTTATCCTACTCTCCTATATAATATTCTTTTCCTAGCTTCCTTTTCACCTTTGTATCTTCTGTTTCACATATAATTTCTCTTTTTGTGTAAGTTCAATTTTCAATAACCACAGAAACACAATTAATTTTAACCTCAGTGTCACACAAAACTTGTGAAGGTAGTAACAACAAATGAAATCACAACCCTTTGGCCAGAACTTGAGAATTTATCTCAGAGAACATATCCACTTCATTTCAATCCTACTCATTCTCAAAATGCATGCTTTTTTCTCATACCTAAAACCCTCAGGCGTAGGAATTCTAAAAATTAACATTACTCTCAAGTTGCCTTTCTGTGAATAGCAAGTAAAAATCAGGGAAACAGAAGTGTAAACTCTGAGGTGACAAAGGAAAGGCAGGGAGGTTACCATCAATAGGAAAATGGCCAAGGCTGGACAAGATGATGAAAAGAAGGAATAAAATGAGAGGTAAGGGACAATGGAAAGAGGTACTTCAGCTAGCAAATTTTTTTAATTCATTCTTAGAATAGTTCAAATAGACTGTGTTTCCTACTTGTGAGATTTCAATCAATTCAAGGAAGTCAATAAAATATGAAGAACTCAGAGACATGGTTGAGTAAGCAACAGAGGTCAATAACTAAACCACGTGCTAAACCTCTAGGCCTAAAAATGTGGCAGTGGAAACAGGTGGAAGAGATTCAGCATTCCCCAGTGTTTCAACTACTCTTGATTCTATCACAGGAAAGGTTTAAAAGGAAATAAACATCTCCTTCAACCTTAGCCTTCAACCTCAAGAGGTCCCTTTAGAAATGTGTATCTGGGGCAATTCACCTGCATCTGCCAAAAGGTATTCACAGATGAAATAAGCTGGTGACCAATAGCAGTTGGAAACAAAGCTGGCACTAATGCAAAAGTTGTTCTTCTTTCTATTTTTTTATTTTTATTTTTTTATGCAAAAGTTGTTCTTAACACATGATCAGAGAAATCCCCAGATTTCTTAGTTGGAAAGGAGATTCTTGGACTGGCTGACAGTTAACACATACTCTAGTGTTAGTTTAGAAATACCAAGAAAGTAAAATTCAGAGTTACTTTAGAAATTTCAGTGATCGCATAGAAAAAAGCTCAACAACTATCAAAGTTTCTGTACATTATAACATGACATCATTAACATATAAGAACAAAGTATTGCTATACTACAATAACTACTCTTGCAAGTCTTTTGCAAGCACACAAATAATACTGAATAAATTCTAGTAAAATTTAAACCTACTTATTCCAGATCCCACTGGACCCATGTTAGAAGCTCCTATTCTTCCTGCAAACCCTCCAATCATTGCACTGCCTAAACAAGGGTGGAGAGATAATATACTAATTAATTTAAATAATCATACTTTCAAAGTCCCAAGGTACTATGCTCTCAAAAGATACACAATAACTGAAAAGTAGTCTTCAAGAAATAGGGTTCAAATATTTAAGACATTGCAAAAGAGAGCTAGTACATTAAAACCCATAAAGTGTTTTCTTCTAGTAACAAATTTAGAGAAACATTACAAATTTCCAATTTTTCACAGAAAAAGGAAAGAAACAGACTTGGAAAAATATAACCTGTGAAAAGAAAATAAGTATGCAGCCAGCCTACCAAGTCTACCAAAGGATTCGCCAAAGCCTCGATTTATTCCAATATCACCACGTCCAAAATCTCTTTCCATGCTACTAGTCATCGCACCACGGTATAGCTCTGAAAAAATTATGCAACAAATTAACTCCTTTTCAAGTATATCAATACACAGGAATCCATTTAGTAACATGTTGAAACTAAAGAGATAGCCAAAATCACAACTACAAAAAAGGTCTGTTATTTACCCAACCTCATATTCCACATATATACCAATTCACCATGCCTGTCCCTAACACCAAGTGCCCACACTCTAACGACCTCAATAGTACACATACCTAAGTAGGGGGAAACATTTTACATACAAGGTAAACTAAATGTAGCATACATGTCTGACTACATACATTTACCTACCTCCCATTCGACCAACTCCTCCAAATCCTCCCATGCTATTAATTGCGTCCAGACCACCAAACCCAATGCCTATGAAATAAAGATTAATTTTGAGATTTGATTGTCCATTATATAGCCGAAAGGTACACTTTATAAATGTTGAGTCTCATCAGTAAGCTCTTCATCTACCCTACTTCATGCAGCTGCTTCTTAACACATCACTTTCCATATCTCTTATGTACCAACCTCAATTTCTACTAGCATCTTTTAGGAAATGAGCTAACAAAAAATAACATGACTTATTTGCCCTTGGAATTCTCAATACAGTTCCTTATTTACTAAAAATGGCAGCGGGTACACACAAAAAAACAAGTGCTTGTACATACCTCCTCCAATTCTATTCATTCCTCCAAAACCTGGACCATCCATTCCCATACCTCAAATAAAAACACAGTATACACTCTGAGTAAATCTCATTTTTATGACTAAAGAAGGACAAAACACAAAGAGCAAACAGATACCATTGGTTTAGTCACCATGGAACACTAGAGAAGCAGGGGCACGTGTGGGATGATTCAAAGTACCATGCCACAGCAATGGTCTAGTCATGAATATTCAAAAAGGCTTCACTGAATAATTAGATGAGGAAAGTCACTGGTCACACTCACATTCTGTTAGAAAATATCCATAACTAGAAAATCATTCTTTTTTTTCAGAGCAGACATAAAATACCACTCTCACTGATTCTTTTTAGACAAACACAGGAGTATCACTATAACAGATTTGAACATCAGGTGAGAAAGTTAAGCACTCTACACATGATAGCCAAGAGAGCAGTGAAAAATTAAAGAATAAAAATAGTATGTGTTCAGGAGGGTGGAGGGTCTAAGAGTAAGGAAGAAAATCTCCACTTGTTTGGATCAGAATGATTACAATAACTACTCTCATAATTTAAAGTGTAGCTGTAGCATCTCAAAGAAATAAAAATCCAGTCACATTTATTAATCCATCGATTAAAATAGTTCTCAAAGTGTGGTCTGGGGAACCTTCAGTCAAAAGTATTTAATTCATACTAATGATTGTTTTACTCTCATTCTTTGAGTTGTAATGTGGAATTTTCCATAAACTACTACATGATGTGTGATAGTGTAACAAACTAAATGCAGAAGATATAACAGCATTGCTGTCTTGCATTAAGCCAAACATTACAGAGATATATCAAAAAGTAAAACAATGTCACTCTTTTCACTAATTCTTTTGTATGAAAAATATAATTTATTTTTAAACAGTACATTTATGTTAACACAATGGGCTATTTTAAATAAATTTATAAATATGTTTCAAATTCTAATATAGTGAATATTGATAAATATAACCATACAAAGAAAAGTATCTTGGAGTCCTCAACATATTTTAAGAGCATAAAAAGGTTCCGGAACCAAAAAGTTAAAAAAAAACTTAAAAAATAAACTAAGTTAGGTCTAGATGAAGAGCCGACTAGCTATCTGAAAAAACTACTACCCATCTACATATGCAAAGTTAAACTGCTTATGATACAGTGGCCCTTCGGCCATCCCACAAATACCATACATCCATGATACACAAGGTGCCACGCTGCACACTCCCCCTTCTGCCTCAAAGCCATTCCAAAAGCCCATAGAGCTAACAAGCTAGTTACAGCACAGCTGGCCACAGCTGACCCTCCTGACATGTTCTCTGCTGTCCAAGATTTCATTCCTTTTTCAAACTGAAGTGAGGTCCGAAATACCCAACTATAAAATGCAGTGCTTTAAACATTACAAACTACTGAATGTGAGCTTTATGACCTAGCAAATGTATCATTTAAAAAGAAATAAGCAAGTCATAATACTCACCACTTGGACCTAAATTTCCCATTACACCACCTATGTTCAACTGGCTGGCACTGATAGGCTGTCCACCTGGACCAAGTCCCATTCCAATGCCTCCAAGACCACCTGAAACACAAATAATAATATTACCAACCCATATATGTTACATAACTGGCACTACAATTGTTTTAAAGCTATAAACCTATAGTAGTATCTCTAAAATTTTGCATGTATCTAAATAAGACCACTGGTTCTTGTTTTCATTGGGGCGCAGCACACTGAACCCTCAGTATAATACCACTTGTAAGTAATGAGAACTGTTTTATAAAGCAGATCCATCTTATATTCCAATTAAAGGCATATTGAAAAAGACTAATAAAATACTGAGAGGATTTTAAAAACTGTATCACCTTATAAATGGCATACATATCAGAAAGTGAGACTTTCTCAAATTTGAAGAACCACTTAAAATCTAAGAACTACTTTTAAAATGGTTCAAATCAAACTAAAAACTCAATGACCACGAAAAAATATTAAATAAAGCAAAGGTTGCATTACCTACTTTTATCATAAATATTTACTTACATTTTTACAGTACTTTAAGTGTTTTCACATATTTATCCATAGACAAGGAAATTTTTGAGACCTCAGGTTATTTGAATAATGTCATTTAGCTATGTGATTAAGACTAGAATTTAAGTTTTCTGTCTCTAAATCCAATATTCTTTTTACTACTTCTCTTAAAATAGACTTCAAAATAACCCAATGACCTTAAAGGCATAACTAATTAATATTTGAATAGGTAGTGTTTTATTCTAATTTTACAGTTCTTGCTAGTTAATGTATCAATTAGAAACTAACCGCCCCCCACACACATATATGTTATTAAAGGTAGAGTAGAGGCACATTGTGTTAAAATGGAAAGATCAACGTGACCTGCTAAAGGAAATATCTTTTCTTAGCTCAGTCCCTAAAAATGGTCCAACTGAAAGCAACAGCATATTTGTACATCAACAATGCCCAGACAAGAAAAAATCTTCATGGTTTTGGGAAATCCTGTTTCTACCAAAAAGAGTATCAGGTTCATGGGAAATGAGGAGGTTTCCACATGCTAATTATAATTTGAGCAAAGAAAGGGAGGGAAAGAGAAAAAATAGGGGGAGACTAATAATAATTAGCATCACTATAATAAATTGATTCTGTCAAAGTCTATGAGGTCATATATCAACATTATCAATAGAGAAGAGTATATAAAAATGAAAATCTTAAAAAGAACATAATGTAAACATGTAAGATTTGTTTTTATGTAAATAAATAAAAGATTACTAATAGCTGAAAGTAAATTGGGATACCCTGCATAAGGCCAGGATCTTGAAGGATGACACTCTGAGTGATAAGGTAAACTTGTTGGAGATGGAAAGAACTGCCCTGTAGAAGAAGGGGCAATACTGAAAGACACATGTGCTGAGAATTTTCTAATTTATCCATAACAAATGGGTATCCAGATTATGAAAGCCTAACAAGTAATAATTCACACTCATGCTGTAGTCAAAGATCTTAAAGAACACAGCCTACCTATTTAAAAAAGCAATTCAACAAATAGCTGACTTAATATCAACAATGGAAGCCAGAAAACTCTGGAATATTCTCAAACTGCCAAGAGAAAAGAACTGTCAATCTCAAACTATATAACTAGTGAAACCCCAGTATCTTTCAAGATATAAAAAATCAAAATTGAGAGAATTTACAAACAGATCCTTACTAAGAGAGCTTTTAAAATATATGCTTCAGCCCTGGCTGATATGACTCAGTGCATCGAGCGCTGACCTGCAAACCAAAGGGTCACTAATTTGATTCCCAGTCAAAGCACATGCTTGGGTTGCAGGCCAGGTCCCCAGTTGTGGGGGGGGCATGCAAGAGGCAACTAACTGATATATCTCTTACATACTGATGTTTCTCGCCCTCTCTTTCTCTCTCCCTTCCCCTCTCTCTTAAAGTAAAAAAGTAAAACCTTAAAAAATATATTAAAAAAAACAAAATAGAAGTTGCAAATTAGTGAATCATTCAACTTAAAGAATTTGGAAAAAAGTAAAAGACTAAACCCAAAAACAGAGATAGAAGAAAATAATAAAGGTAAGAACAGAAACTAAGATACAGAAAACAAAATTACTTATTTGAAAGCATTAATAAAACTGACAAACCTCTACCGCGGGTGTCCCACATGCAGCCCAGGATGGCTGTGAATGCGGCCCAACACTAAATCATAAATTTTCTTAAAACATTATAAGGTTTCTTTTGTGATTATGTGTCGCAATGTATGTAATGTATTGCCCAAAACAACTCCTCTTCTTCTAGTGTGGCGCATTGAAAGCAAAACTGACCAGGGGAAAAGGAGATACTGTAACCCTTCAAAAAGTTAAAAGATAGAACTATAGATATGGCAGAAATTTAAGACACTATTTTATGCCAATAAATCTAAAAATGGACAAAATGGTAAAATTCTTAGAAAAATAAAAATAACCTAAATTGACTCAAGATGCAATAGAACATATAAGCAATCAGTATTTTAAAACCTTTCCCAAAACTACACACCAAGGCCAGACTGTTTTATACATAATTTCTAGCAAACATTAAGAGAACAGATCATTCTATTAGAAAAAGAACACAACATTCCCCAACTTAGTAATATTGCTAACAAAAATTAGAGTAACTAAAAAACAGAAAAACATATAAAATATGGTATTAAGAGATAAAATAAAGGAATTAGAACTATATCAACATAAAGAATCTCAAAATATATTAAACTAAAACAGCAAGTTGCAGAGTATGTATGATATGATATCACACACCAAATTTCAAATTCAGCATAACAATTCCATATAATATCTATGAATGTGTAAATTTGTAATCAAATCATTAAAACCTAAAAGATAAACACTATATTCATCATAAGTTGTTTCCTCAAGGTAAGGTATCTGGTGGGAGTTGGGCAGGGGAGTAGAGTAATCCCAACTTTATCTGTCAAGTTTTATTTTAAAGAAAAATCACCTAAAACAAGTATGGTCCATCACAGCTACATGAGTAATTTTTAAGTTTGGCTATATACTTAAAATATTTAAAAATTTAGTAATAACCAGAGAAGGCACAGTAAAACAGTAAGAATAAGAGCTCGTATTTATTGAGTGCTTACATTATGCAAGGATTGTGCTAAAAGCTTTATGTATTAACTCACACCATACTCATGCCAATCCCATGAAACAGGTACTATTATCACCCTCATTTTACAAACTTGGTATTGAGTCGCAGGTGTTAAGTACATTACATTGCAGTTTCAAAATCCTTTGGAAAACATTTTGATAACGTTGATCAATGAGCATGGCTTGAGAACCTGTAAATCTACTTCAGGATAGGAAATAACTGAAACGTAGCAAAGACTTGTATACAAAAAAATATGAATTACTCTGTTGGTGATTAAAGGAAAAAAGAACACCTAAATATACACAACAGTTATGGAGAATCCATATGAGACTATTATACAACCAATAAACATATTTGGAAAGAATTTTCATATATTCTATGTTAAATAAAAAGAAAACAATTATTATATGGTAATTCTCAACTATGTAAAACAATATATGTGAAAGGAAAGACTAGAAAAACGATACCCAAAAAGTGTTATAATAGAGGTTACCTGCGGTAAAATTACAAAGACTTTTTCTCCCCTTACCTATATTTTTATAATGGAGGAATTTTTACCATACATTTTTATAATGGGGAAAACCTACCAAAAGAGAAAAATGGCACACATTTATCTTCTCAATCATCCTAGTCCATCATGCCAAACTAACTCCAAACACCAAACTTTGGGCAACTTGGGATACAGGCATGAACACAAAGAGTTCTGCTTAGCACACAGTAAAGCTGAAACACAGCACTCTGCATTGTTTCTAAAAGCTTTTACTTACGTGGTAATTGTGGCGTTTTACTGTCATGTGAACGGTAGTCTTCATGAGGGACAGACTTGTCATCCTAATTGCAAAAAAGTTTATTATAAGCTTAATATATAACTAAAAAAATCTGAAATGTAGAGGAGAACAGAGAAAAGATTTAAAACGTTTGGAGAGATGAAGTGATATACAGGAACTCACCATTTTCACATGCATAGGTCTATCAAACAAAAACTGCCCATTGAACATAGCTGTTGGTTCAGTCAAGGAAAGCCAGTTAAGACAACTATAAAATTATACTTGAATACAAATACATTTTTATAATCTTATTTAGAGTCACACTATCTTTAATATTTTAACCAGTCTTTAATATTTTACTCATTTATATTAGTCTCTTCCATATACTCAAAGAAAAACTTTCATTCTTTGCTTCATAGTTTGATTTTATGTATAAAATGTAAGCTTTTAATTCAACTACTGAATAAAGAAAATTACCAAGCCTTTACTTGAAGCAACTGTAATACATCATAATTGGATTACACAAATTTCAGGAGCACACATACCTTACAATTAATTGTGGCAGCAAGAGAAAGTAGAAAAAGGTTCATACCAGGCCAATTCAAGTGTTAAGAGTGACTTTAGTACTTGGACAGAAAAAGCTTTATGTGCTGAAGACTAAAGTCTAACACACATTTCTAAGCTAGGCAATCTTAAATTCCAGAACTTTCACAAAATGGTAACAAGATTCTTCACCCTTACTAAACAACCCTAAAGTGCTGATGAGGATACAAATTGCTTGAACTGCTTCAATTGCTTGTTCAAAAGTGACAGTGCCCATCCCTCTGCTCTTGCCGTCTTTGTCTTCTTTAATGTCTGCCCGCTTTACAGTTCCCGCTATGCTGAACACTTCCTTCAACTTCTTCCAGCCAACTTTGAAATCAAGCTTAACATAAAATTATATAAAGTTATATACCTAGTAACCCCTCTCCCCACTTATACATAATATATACACATCTTTTATAAAATCTCAAAGCTATAAACAACTACTATTCTTGTTAAACAGTATATGAGATAATATTCACAAAAAACATTAGGATGTTTGAAAGCAGTTATGCTACATCTGCATTATTCCTTATCCTTCATTTTTTAAAAAAATTCACAGAACAGTCTCTCACCTATTCAATCCTGTTTTGTACATTTGAAACTTGCACATCTATTTTTACTAGGAGAAATTCAGATTTTGTAAATTATTGTTGATATCACTGACTTTCAAAAGCTAAGAACAAATGACAAACCTACTATAACATGCACATTCACAAATATCAATTCAAGCTAAAAAAATCAATTTACCAATATAAACAAAAATCGCATAAAATAATTTCAAGAATGGCTAAGTGTTTATAAATTATACAGTTCTTTTTAAAAAATTCAAAATATTTGTATATACACTCTTAACCTTATATATAAAAATGAACATTGGGTTTGAGTTTACAATAATCTATGTTTGACTTACTTTAGTTAAAAATAAAATGTTCTATAAACCTATAACCCATTTATCTAATCAAATAATCTCATAATTAGAACTAGATATCTGAATGACAAATTTTTAGAATAAAGCTTAAACTTACATTAGCAACAAAAATTGTGGAACCAAGTCTACCGGCCTGCAAATTACTGATAACCTCAGGAGGAATGTTTGGATTATTGAGAATGGAAGGTGGTAAATTCATCAGCCCCGATCCTATATCGGGTACATGTCCTCCTGGAAATGATCCCCCTGTTCGCTGCAATGCCCTACGAGCATTTTCTCCATCAGGATCCTAAAACACACATTGAATGTTAAATGCCATTACATACATTATAAAGTCTACATAATTAAAATAACAACTTCATATTCTATAGTAAGTATCCCATCTGGGTCAAATTAGTGGCTCTGTTGAAGAGCGAGCTTTTTTTCTCACCCAGAGAATTCGGTCCCATAAAAAAACTGTGGAAAAACAAAAGATTAGTCTTCAGGGATGTCAAATAAAAATACCTCTTTCCAATCAATCACTAAAGTCACTTAAGAACTTGAAATTAACTTACTTTTGCCCTTGCACTAGTGTACAATTATATGGAACAAACACATACATGTACATAACTCAAAGAGGAACAAAATACTTACTGTAACTCTTTTCTTTCCCAAATACACCAATAGTGAATTATCACTACTAGATGACCAATGCAAGGCCAAAGTAACACTAATTCAAACCTTTCAACAGTGGAACAGATTGTTATAAAACCCAGAACACTGGGTTAGAAGGGAACTATGATAATGTGTGAACTTTATTCCTGAAAACACAAAATATAATTATCCACCTTCCAACCTCTTTCCATCCTCAATGTCATTATGATCTAAGACTGGGAGGAGGGGAGGAATAAACAGTGTCCAAATAAAAACTGACACTAAGCATTGCTTTATTTTTTTAGTTCATTAATTTTATAAGAAAATATTCTACCTTTAACCAAAGAAAAGCAAGTTTAAATGTCCTTCTCACTCATCTCACTAGGTGGAATGCAACAAACAAACAAAAAACCCAAATAAACAAAGTAATAGTCTTTCATCTGCAGTGACAAATAATTATGATATATGTAACCATAAACTCTACTCCACTAGCCTGTCTGGAAATATAAAAAAAGAAAAGAAAATTTGGTGACTGTAATAAATTCTTTAGGAAGAATTCAAGGTATAGAATAGAAGGTGAAAAAGTGAATGCAACATAAAAGTATTCTGGTTTCCAATATATTTCTTTACCATGAAGAATAAAAAAATTAAGAAGAAATCAATGTTTCTAAAAAATATTATAAAATCATAAACACTTCATGTCTAAGGTTTCAGAATCTTGCACAAATATAAAATTTAGGATTGTGGTTACCTATAGAGGAGGACACAGTAGAATAAATGCTTCATGAACTATTAAGATGGGTTGTTTATTCTTACCTTAAAATTACTAAAGCATAGTACTATGTTTTTATTTGTCTTTTACATACATGACACACATAAATATATGTAAAACATATATACAATTTATATAACACAAATTAAATGCTAATATCATTGCTTTTATTCCTCTTTTTCCCTTGGATGTCAGACTGCCAGGCATTGCCAGTTATTGCTATTAGAGAGCCTATAAAAAGTTTACAACTGCTATTAACCCCCCACCCCAAATTACATGAAAAAGTGCAACTCTAATATCTGTAAAGGAACACTGGAAATAAACTTTTCCTTAGACTCTCACTAGTACTTCTCTGCACTAATCTCAGCCATCCACTTGTAAATCAGATATTCCCAGAAAAGGGACCTTTAGCGATATTAATATAAAAGAATTAATTGAACAAAGAATATCTCAACATTTAGTTAGGTCAAACTATACCTTTTTTTTTCATTTTAAAGAGGCTAATAATGGAAGTATCCTACATCATCATGGATCATGTAACTTTATCCCAGGGTCTCTAAAATATTACTGACAATCTACAATGTGCTAAAATTAAAAAAAACACAAACAACATGGACCTGTCCTTTAGCGCTCAATAAATCTTCTTCCTACAAGAAATAAAAACAAGAATCTGTAACACTTGTCTTTTGAAGAATAAGAAGAAACATCATAAAACAGCAAATTGTGCTTTATTATTTCAAAAAAGGTAAAAATGCAACTGAAATGCAAAAAAAAAAAAAGATTTGTGCAATGTATGGAGAAGGTGCTGTAAATGATCAAACATGTCAAAAGTGGTTTGTGAAGTTTTGTGCTGGAGATTTCTCGTCAGATGATGTTCCAAAGTCGGAGACCAGTTGAAATTGGTACTGATCAAATCGAGACGTTGATTGAGAACAGTCAACATTATATACCACCCAGGAGAGATGGCTGACATACTCAAAATATCCAAATCAATAGTTACTGGTGAAAATAAAAAATGTATCTTTTATTTTATGGACAAAAATACAGACTTTTTGGCCAAACCAATAAATGGCTTGCAAAGACTGTAACAGTCTAAATTTTCTCCACAAATTATCTACTTTCCAGTCACAAAAATAAACAAACAAACAAGCAAACAAAAACCTTCAGGGTCATACAGGTTTAGGGGAATTCAGAAGCTGATGAAAATAAAGGGATTTGAGATACTTGTATATGTTGGTAGCATGGCCTTTCATTTTAAGCTATAGCAGTTCCTGCTTATCCATGGTTTCAGTTCCCTGGCTTCAGTTATCCATGGTATAGCAACATCCAAAAATTTTAAATGAAAAACTCCAGAAATAAACAACTCTTAAGTTTTAAATTGTGTGCCCTCCTGCATAGTGTGATGAAATCGACTTGTCTCACACCATCCTGCCTGGGCACGAATCATCCCTCTGTCCAGGGTTATCTGTACTTTGTACACTACCAGCCTTTAGTCACAAGGTAGCCACCTCGGTTATAAGGTCAGCTATCATGGCATCATCACGGTGCTTGTGTTCAGGTAGCCCTTATTTTACTTAATGGTTCCAATGTGCAAGAGTGTTGATGCTGACAATTCAAATATGCCAAAGAGAAGCTGTACAGTGCTTCCTTTAAGTGAAAAGGTATGTATGTATAGGAAAGGACATAGTGTATTTAGAGTTCAGTACGATCCTTGCTTTCAGGCATCCACCAGGGATCTTGGAACATATCCCTTGCAGAGAAGGAAAAATGAAACTACTGCATTATTGCCTCATAATCAGAAACAAGAGAACAATGACCAGTAACATTCCCATCTTTGATAGTAATAACAACAATCATAATTATTACAGCTAACATTTATTATGTAATTATATTATTTGCATACTATGCTAAATAATTTATATAATATCACAATTATAATAGCTAACATTTACTAAATGTTTGATATATATTAACTCTTTGACTCCTTATAATACTATCACTATTCCCATTTTAGTGATTAAAAAAAAAAGAAATAAGTTATGTAATTTGCCCTGGGTCATACAGATTCTCATATGCCACAGACTGAGTTCTTTACCATGTACCTCATTTAATCCTCATAAAAACCCTATCAGGTAAGTATTACCTGCAGTACCATTATCATCATTACTAAGGGTTAGAGAATCAGTAAATGCCTACTTACACAGCTGGAAAGTGATAGAGCTGGGAGTCAAGTCACTACTATACTAAGTTAAACTGTCACTGATAGAATTGCTCTATTACCAGTGATTAACATCTGTGCTAATGGAGGCTCTTCAGGTTCCCAAAGTTATATCCTCTATTCTTTTTTAATACAGACTTTAGCAAGGATATATACGTAACTGGTTTGTGATCAAACTATTCAGGTGAGATTAACAATATCAACTTAAGGATGACAGGAAGATGACCACTATTCAAGCGAATTATGTATAAGTTCAATTACACCTCACTATCAACAGTTTTTTAATGTATTTTCCAATCAATCTTTAGCAAAATATTTTTATTGCAACAATTCCATACAAAGGGAACATCTCCATTTTAGGGTTTCTAGTTTTAGTCAAAAATTTTGCTAATAGACATAACTTTTCTTAAATTTTAATCTGCTATAATTTCAGGTTAATTTTATTGAAAGTGAACATCAATTTTATTCAAATCCATAAGGTATTTACACTATTAAGCAAACTCTGATTATCAACTACAAAAATATCTAGTATACTTCTCAAATTAAACAACACAACCTAAAAACTGAGTATGTATATACTAAATAAAGTCAGCATCAAAAGTATCTCATCTTTAAATTGCTGGGGCCTGAAATGTCTTTAAATCATGTACGTCTGCTTATAATAATTTGGAGCAAATCAAATGTATATACCAACTGCTTAAGGGCAAATAGAAAATCATGTACAAGGAAGCAAAACCACCATCAATATAAATGGTCTAATAAGCAATTTATGCTAAAAAAAATGTTGTAGTCAGATAAATACATTACCAAAGATGAAAATCCAAAGAAAACAGATCCTTATATTCAAATGTTTAAATTATTCCAAATACAAGAAATCTTACCTCTTTAATATTCAGGGGTCTTCCACTAAGATCGTATTTGTTCATGGTTTCTAGTGCTTTCTTTACAAATTCTTCATCTTTAAATTCGACCACACTTAATCGGGGGAAAAAATGGGGGGGGGTTATATACTAAGATCATTTTTTTTACAATCAGAAGTTTAAATTTAACTTAAGGTACTTAAAAAAAAATTCTTACCCACAACCCTATATCCAGGTAGATTTGTCAATATATGCAAAAGAAAAAAAAGTTGTATCAGTAGATGAAGTTAAAGTAGAATATGACATTTAAATCACTAAGAGCAATCAATTAATATAGTCATTTTTATTGTCTTTATACTTCCAAAACATAAAAGGCAAATGACCACAAGTTTTCTGTATATTTTTAAACATATCTATTTAAGGTAGTATAATCTAGTATAACAAGCATGAAGCACAATTTAGATGGCTCTTCCTTAAAGCTAATGTAATGTCATTGTACAAGTTCAATCAAATGGAATTCAAAGAAATGACTGAAGCCTCTACTATACCTATCTTTACATTGTCCCTGGATAGTTACAAGTATTTTCAAAAGCTGCATTGTGCACAAATAGAAAAAATAAAAAATAAAATTATTAAAATCAAAATAGAAAAGATTAATGTCACTTTTAACAAAGTTCTCAGGGGAAACTGGCTGCACACAGTTTAACAGCATTCAGTTTTAAGAAGTTTTTAAAAAGTTACCTATGTTAAAGAAACAAATTTGTAGTATCATTTTAAAAATAGTAACTTGTCATTGTTACTGTTCAAAGTGCCACTAAATGTAATGACAAAACTTTTATTTTTCATGCACCCAAATGGTTTTTGCTAATAAAATTAAACACTGTTAAGAGTTATCCATTGTATTCTTCAGTATATTCTTTCTTGTTGCTAAAAAATCAAAATCGACTATCACCCAATTCCTTCTATGTCAATTTAATCATCAATGTCATTCATACCAATTGGTCAGAGCACTGCCTCTTATGTCATCCTGTAGGCTATCAAATTAAGTTTTTTCAGTATAAATTTCAAACATACATTCTGAATTGACACATTTAAGCTATATGCCTCTCATTGAACTCTTAGGGAATATTATCAATTCAGTGACTTTAAAAATATCCTCAAAGACATCAAAACACAACAAAAAAAAGTCCTATATTAAATTCTATCGTCTAAGAAGAAGCATTACCTAAGAGTATTAGAAAAGTGAGTGCCCTTTATGAGCATTTATAAAAGCCATCCCTCTCAGGCAGCTAGCTTGATTTGTATTGTCAAACTTGCTGGTATAAAGCCTCAAATCTTGCATAATAAAGTAAAACAAAATGAAACTTAAGTTTCCAAAAACTGGTACAAGTATTATACAAAAAGTAAACTGCTGAGGAACTTTTAAACCTCAAGCAGATTACTGCCCACAGCACTTACCCTTGATTTTCCTTCCGCATCCTTAAAGAGCTCCACGTATGTAACCTCACCAACTACATAAGACATACAAAAGGAAGATACCAAGAAACAATACATTTAAACACCAATGTCTTGCTTTACTGCACACCTGTGCACAACTCTACAGAAAAGCACCTATTATTCACCAACAATCAAAACCAGACCAACATACCTCCTATCAATGGCTATGTAAATTTAACTAATTTTCAGAAATGTACATCATCCACATTCTCTAAAAAAGCTAACAACCATATTAACCTCATTCATACTACAGATCATATTTTGGCCCGCATGATATAGTTGGTGAACAAATGCACATATACATACAAATGTTCCCTTAGCCTATCATATTAAAAGCATCAACATTAGCACTTTTCAAGTAGCTTTAGTCGCCTACACACAACAGCTGTTTTAAGGTGACTTCCTACCTGAATGTCTTCAATCATGTTTGCCATCAAACTAAATTTACAAGTCATGCTTCACAGCAAGCCACACACTTTCTAAATAAAGTCAATGAATAAAACCAATCAAATAGTTGTCACCTTACAACAGATACACCAATGCAATTTTTAAAAATTTATTAGAAGAGATGAGCCTCAAAGCCAAGTACATAGTTAGCAGGACTGTTAAAACTCAATTTTTCAAGAGATAACAAAACTAACTTTTACAAAATCAAATATTAAATTATTTTTCCCCAAAACCAACCATACATATAAAATGAAGATTTTCCGGTTATTCTGAAAACAAAACTGCAACAGCAGTAACACAATTTTAATATAGAACTGCAGAGACAGCATCATCGCATTCATGACAATGCAAACAAAATGCATTCCACAGCCAGATTCCAGACTCCACCAAGATAGTAACAAAGCAGCTTTTGGAAAAAAAAATTAATCAGACCTTATTATTCATACTTTAACAGCTAAATGTATTGCTTAACTAGTGCAATAGTCCTTTAAAACTATAAAAATCTATAAAAACTTCAACTAAACAAAGCAATCACTTTAACAAAATTTTTGGTGGCATGCATATGCTGCCTCACTACTATTCCACTCAAATAACAAGAAGAAAAAATTTTGAAAAATCTTTATTTATCCATACTACCTTGAAATGAAATTGTGTCAAGTGAAAGAGGAGGAAAAGATTAATTCATGTGTCCAGAAATAAACAAAAACCAATTTTCATGAGTCTGTGTGGCTCAGAGGTACACAAAGTTTGCTTAGTTCCCTCCTCTTATATATGAAAATTAACAAACAGTGGAGTTTCAAAGATGTTTACCTTTTTCTCTCATTAAATCTTTAATAGCTTGCCATTTCATGTCATACGGTATGTTGCTAATGAAAACTCTGTTCCGATTTGGACCCTTCTTTTCCCCAGTGCCTGAATTCTTGTCTTTTGAATAAGGATGAAATCTATGGGCCTTCTTATTTCCTGCTGATTTTTCTTTTAATTCAGATTTCTCCTCTTTTACTGATTCATCATTCTCCCTATAAATTAAAAACAAAACAGAAGTCTATATTAAATATTCAATATTTGCCACTTCACTTCACAAAACCCTCCACTAAGTCAGATCTCAGCAAAGAAGCTGGAGTCAGACGGCTGGCTTTGAAGTTACCCAGGGCTATTTCAAAGCAGAGATTTGGGCATATTACCAAAATTCTCATTCCACAATCCTTTTTTTCCAAACTGAACAGCTGCAGCATCCAAACAGTCACCCAGTTTTTCCTTATCATAGTACGTAATAAATGTTATTAGTACTTAAGAGGGGAAATGGGTGATTCTATGCCTACAGTATATAAAACTGCCACCTTTAATGGAAAATTAACTTTCTTGGCCTTACTCTGAATTCTTAAAAAACTAATTTACAAAATGATACCCTAAAAAAGTTCATTTCTTAAAGATTAACAGTTTCTTCCCAGAACTTTTCTCCTTTGTTGCTTAAAAAGTTAAAATACATAATTACAACTATATCTGTAAGTACACACTCCAATATAACTCAAAATGTTTCCTATTTTCAATTTTGATCAACACAGAAGACTAATAAGGTATCCTAATATTTTCATGCTCAATATTTTCTGTGTTTTACCCTATAAACTAGAATAGGGTACATTATAGAATCATGTCATTTTTATTAGTATTATCTATAATGGGGGATGGGGTGGAAAAGCAGTACTTAAATGCAGCACCAATCAGAATTTTATAAAATCTATGTGGCAAAGCAATTTTGGCCCTAATGTCTCCTAATTTTAGCAGTTTGTTTTTTTGGCAGAAAAACTTACCTTCTAAGCCAAGCACATAGCTCTTACTCTGGTCGCTTATTCCATAATATATAAACATTTTCACATTACTTTTCTCAGCAGGTAACAACACAGCCATAAATATACTAGGTAAAACTCTACGAGAACAAACTACCTGTGTTGGTATCAGCAGCATCTAGCATGGTCACTGCACATAACATGTGCTCAATAAATATTAATTCTTGAACGAGCAAATAGTCAGATGGTACTGATATCTGCCAGAAAAACTACTAAAACTAGGAGACATTAGGGCCAAACTTGCTTTGCCACTTTTTCAGACTTTGACAGGGCCATCTTCACTGTCACACACTGTCCTTCATCAGAAATGGCACAGCCTGGAAGTGATCATCTCACCCATCCAAGTCTACCAAGTACTACTTGCCTATACAGCTGCAATACTGAAAACGGCTACTGCTCATCTACAACGTGTAAATTAAGACTGTCTATGGAAGGCAGGTCCCTTAGAGCTAGAGGTATGGTCTGATTAAGTAACTAAGCTGTAATTACTCAATTTCTGAACTCTTTCTATGTCCTAAATACATTATGGAAGACCAGTAAGAACATACGTAAAAACTCTTAAGGAAACAATGCTATATAATATCAAAATGGCACTATATCCAGATTTCCATGTAGTAATTCCCAAACTATTCATTTAGGCAAACACTTCTCTTAATGTACTTAAAATATAGATTGTGACTATCCTTTATTTTAACTGAATTAATTGGGGTGACACTGATAGTTAAAATTATATAGGCTTCAGGTGTACAATTCTATAGTACATCATCTATTGTACTATGTGTTCACCAGCCAAAGTCAAGTCTCTTTCTGTCTCCATTTATCTCCACTTTACTCCCTTTTATCCCCCTCTCCCTCTGGTAATCATCAGACTATGGTAATCACCAGACTATGACTACGCTGTACAGACTATAACTATTCTAAGTCACGAAAATGTTATCTACTCTTAAGAATGATTTATGCCTACCCAAATTATAACACAAATTTCTGAAAAAATTAGTATTTAACATCAAATGAGAAAAACTGTTTTAAGGATTTTAAAAACATAAAGCTATAGTGAGATCCAAAATTAGGCCCAGTTCTATACTAACAGTATATAAAATACTATTCTACTCTTCTACCTTACTCCAATGTTTAGTATTTTATACTAGACCCTAATGTATGTATGTCCACATACTCCAAGGTGTTACTTAATCACACTTGAATAATGAGGAGTTGTAACAATACTATTTTTCCTCCTATTTACTTAAGAAAAGCTAGTATACCATTTGGCACAAAGAAAAACACTACACCTAGGGAAACATCTTTAATTTTTTGTTAAATACGTTAACATGACCATTAAAAACCCCAGGCCCTTTAAAGCATACAAAGATGAGAGGTTTCCATCCTCAATGACTATGGATTGATCTCAGCAAGTCACTTCAATCTTGATAACAAACAGCACTGTGTTTGCTTCTCAGCAATATAGGTTTTCAAAGTAATATTTGTTAATTTTCATCATCTCTATGCATTATCATTAAAGATATATGGAAATCAACTAAAGTTTATGTGTTGGGTTGTTAACTCCTCCCATTGGGTCACAAGGGTCAAAAAAAGATTGTTAGGTAAATGTCCCTAGTTATTCAGTGTGAGTGGCCCATGCTGAACCAATATATATTTTTATGCACTAGACAGTATAAGAAACCCGAGAGTAAACTGGCCTCTTCACTCAACTTCTTAGAAAAGATGATAGGAAAGAGATGAATTATAAGCAATATGAAAATGATCTACCTTTGAATTTCTAGCAACATTTCTTAATTTTTTCACCTTCTATTTTCCTGTTCCTCAATTAGAAGTTAAAAAGATTCTTTTCCCACCCCTATCCTCTCCTGTCCAGCTACACCACAAAAAAACTTTCAAAGCAGGTAGAGACATTTTGATGGAGGTTTAGACGCCAGGGTTACTTGCACTAACACTATTGCTGCATTGATCATATCCAAGTTGAGAGGGGCTTCTCTCTGTAATTCAAGGCTGTACTTTCTGTTCAGAAAAAAAATGGGTGGCAGATCCATGTTTATACATTTCTTTAAAAGCACATTTTAAAATTATCGTTTCAGTGGTTTTCATTCATATTTATGATGCCAAATCCCTGAAAGCCCACATATTGATAAACATGGTAGAAGTGCTTCAGTAACTTTTAGTTTTGCAGTTACAGAGGTGCACCATATCCCACCTACTAACAAACTCCAAGAATCTCTTATTCTGACTAAAGATACTGCCTATCCTATTCAAACCCAGTTGAGACCAAGAGTGTCATAACCAACCCAGCTGGCAGAGATACCTTATCTTCAATCAACCCTTAGAAAGACTGATCCAGATTTACTACACCATTTCAAATATTTTTATACAAAAGAAAAAGACATTTACATGGTCTATTTTAGTGTGAGTGTATGTTCACTGCTTTCTACCCTAATAATTGAGAGAGAAAGAAAATGATGTTTTCACTAAATAACATACTTCAACTTTAGGTTTAAAGAGCTGGGCATATGCAAATAAATGCCTGACTTCATATCCTCCATATAACAAAGGGGAGCACAACATTTCCTTATAGTAACAAAATTATTATGAATTTGAGTCAACAAAATTCTTTATAGGCTCTAATGACTGATGCAACCTTAAAAGAAGGGGGTTTCCTTCAATTAAAAAAATCTTATCTTACCATTAAGAACCTACCATCACAAACTGTCTATACATAATAGCCTGCAGGGTTGACACACATCTGAGGGCCAGGAAGGATGAGGGAGCAAGGCACATTTCCCTTTTTAAAGTGACTCTTCCAAATTAAAGATAACAATAGATTCAGCCTAACAGCACATTATTTAACTTCCTTTTGGTGTGTATCTGTTCAGAAATGACCACCTACTTTAGAAAACAACTGAATTTATAAAGCTCAGCGTGAGGCCGTGGAGATTCGGAGACATTTCTTTGAAATACGTTCTAGGTGGTTAGGAGGAAATGCCCGATGATGTCATCCCTAGTTACTCCCTAGTGATGAACACTAACTACTAGCCTTTAAAGGGGGACCGTTTTCCAGCAGCCTGTGGCTTTGCTCAAAGATTCTCCAGCCGAAATCACGAAAGAGGGGGTGAGCCGTGGTCTCCGGCTGCAAACGGAACCCGGACGCCGGCCCCCCTCGACCCGCACCCCAGCTCACCCGGCCGGTGGCGGGCGGGTTGGGCCTGGAAGCGACCAGGCTGCACCTGCTCCTCCCCTCGCCTACTGCCCGAAGGCCGTTATCCTCCGACGCCCAGCCCGGCCTCCGGCACCCCCTAGGCCGACTTCCCGCCCCCCACCTTGTCCCGGTCCCCGGAGGAAAAGAATACATTTTAACGCCATTGGAGCTGCTGCTGTGCGGAGGAGGCAGTTTCTCGTTCTCAGGCGGGTGCGGTTCTCGCCGCAGCTCTCCTGGCGGCTCAGCGGGCTGTAGATGCGGACTGTCGTCGCCAGGGGCCCCGGACACCTCGGACTTGTCGGCCTCCGCCATCCCGCCGCCACTGCCTCCGCTTCGGCCGCCTGCGTACAGAGGCTCCGAGCGTGACAATGGCGGCGGCCGGGAAAGCGGTAACGGATCCCGATTTGAAAAGGCCCCGAGCGCTCCGTTGCCCGGATCTCGCGAGAACCAGTGGGGGGCCCGGAGACTGGGAGATATTGTGAGCCGGGGGTGGGGGGTGGGAGTGCAGGGTGGGGGAAGGGTAAGGATGGGGTGGCAGGTTAGGGACGCCATTGCTGCAGTCGGCCCTGCTGCCAGGCCGGGAAGGGCTTGACTTGTCCAGAAGCCCCTGGTGGGGCCCTGTTCTGCCCACCAGTCACCTTGTCTCTTGGCACCCAGTGGGGTCTTTGCTCAAAAGTCGGTTGTGGGGTTAGAAACCTCTAGAACTCTGTACAGTTCGTACTACTGAGTTCATTTCAAGTGGGAGCTGTTTAAATTAGAGAGGCATACACCACTTTGCATCTTTAAAAGACAAATGCAAATCTTCAGAGTCCCCTTAGAAATCCTTGGAATAATGCAGATAAATCACTTGGCACTTTAATGCCTAGGCACCACGTGGATATACAATAAATAGTAATTGATGACTGGTTTCAATTCACCAAAATAAATGGCTTTGAATTTCTTGTGAGTTCTGGTTTTTCTTAACAATGAGGTTTTCCTCGGAACTCAGCTATAAATTTGTGAAAAGAAGATTGAAGTTTTTCAATTCTCTGGGCAGCAATCAATAAGGAGAACAAATAATTTTTATAAGACATCTACTAGATTGACTAATAATATACATTTGGGTTTGGGTTATGTGTTTATTAAATACTAATGGAAATTATATGTTAAGCAGTTATAGGCTCTCAAACAAATTTAATTACCATATGGAGTTTTAAAATATAGTCATAGATTTTTCCCCCTAAGTGTGAAAAATATTAAGCTTAACTCTTAACTCTTCGGTGCTTTAATTTCTCATTGAATAACCTTTTCTGGCTGAAAAGTTCAAGGACCTTCCCAAATATTTGTTTTTCATAAAGAAGCCAACTTGTATAATTTACATACTTTGCAGAATTTCACACACATTAGTGGTAAAGTAGTAGTTAGAAACATACTCAAGTATTGCATAATTTCCCCTGTTCTTTGATATTTCAATATGCAGGTCTCTGCACTTAATCATAAAACATTTGATTTATGACTCTAGCATAAAACATTATGTTAGAAGAGTTAATTTATGTCATCAAACATACACACATAAAAATCAGAACAATTTTAATCATTAATGAGTGCACTTGGTAAAATACTGCTGCTTAAGGTATTACTCAGTCAATCCTAAAACTTAGTGTGCAAAGAAGAAGGGAATGGGTTTTTGCCATACAAACCTGGGTTAGAACCCCAGCTCTGCCACTTGCTGCTGTAACTCCTTGGGCAAGTCACTTAACCTCTCAATTTCTCCATAATAAATAGGAATAATAATACTTATCTTGCAGGACTGAGATGAGGATTAAAGGAAAGCACTTCATGTAGGGTGAAGTACTATATGAATGTAAAGTAGTATTACAATCCCGTATTTATCTAGACTGGTTAGAGTTTTAGTCACCTAGTCAAGTAATATTCCGAAGAACTGAATTACAAGTACTTTCAAAACATTTATCATTCTCTGTTGTTCTTTTATTATAGTTGAATTTAATGATGAAAACATAAGCCTGGAGTCTCTATGCTTATGTTTCTCTATATTCTTGAAAATTCCTTCAATAGATCCCATTTAATATTTTTAGGAGACCTTTATGCTTAAAATAGAGTAGTAGTTGCATGAAGAATACAAAAATGAATATGAACCTGTTGAGAGAGGATGTTTATAAAAAGCACTGAGTTCTGTAATAAAGATTAAAGCAAAGTATAATTAAAAATTTATTTACAAAAACAGGAGGCCTGCCTGCATGCTGTAGTGTGGTGATTAAAATATTCTATTAAAATGTTTATCTTGATTATTGAGCTCTTTAGTCACCTTTAAAATTCTGTGCCTAAGACAAATGCCTTATTCAGTGTACCTTACTCACTGTGCCTTGGTCCTGATTCTATAAGTGCAAAAAAAGCAGAAGTTAATTTTTAAAGGGAGATCCAGGAGAGCTTCACAGAGGAGCTGGATCTTAAAGACAAAAAGAATTTGGGGGCAGCTTCTGTAGAGAAAATGATTAATCCTTATCACTCCATCTGAGTGCCCTATAGAGTGATCTTTCCTCCCTCTTTTGCAATTAAAATTGTCCTTAGCTAAATCTATAAAAAAAATCAAGAAAAAATTCTTATTAACATTCCATTACTACATTCCATTTCTATAGTTTCCTTTTTTCCTTTACTTTTTAAAGTCCATATATATATATATATATATATATATATATACCATAAAATAATTGACTAATGCTTTAGTTTTTGTCTTCTTACAACTCCCATTACAAATGTCATCCTTTCCAATCACACAAAATGTGTTAATAATAAAACTTCGCCTAACCACTCAGTTTTTTCTTACAGATTGAAGTGTGTGTGTGCATGTGTGTGTGTGAGAGAGAGAGTGAGAGAGAAAGGAGCCATTATACAGGTCTAGAAATTTAATGCTAAACCCCAAAATATTTTAATTAATATGTATGTCATTTAGGAATTGTGTTCATCTGCTAGTAACAGGGACTAGAAATAAAACAATAGTGTCTGAAACGAGATAGAAGTTATTGCTTTCTTAAAAAAAAGCAGAGCAGAGGGAGGCATCCCAGAGTGGAAATGGCAGCTCCACAGTCATCATGGACTTAGATTCTTTCTATCTTAATCTGACACCATCCTAGTGTGAAGCTTCCTTCCACTCTTAAGGTTTCCCAATGGCCCCAGATGGCTGCTGGAGATCTGGGTATCTCGTCAACATTGGAGTCCAGAAAAGAAGGATTGAATCCAGAGTTCTCACACAACACTTCCACTCACGAGGCCGAACTTAGTCACAGGACACACCTAGCTGTAGGGGAGGTTGGCAAGTAACTTTTCACTTGGTCTCACTGACCAGAGTTCTACCTCCAAACGAGAGACACTAATGGCAACTGGAATGGGCTCATTCTTTTCTCTTTGCATTTGTGGTACCTATGAACAATGGACTATCACTCGCCCATTAAAAAGAATGAAATCTTGCCATTTGCAACAACATAGATGGACCTAGCAGGTATTATGCTAAAGGATATTTCAGACAAAGAAATATATAATATGATTTCACTAAAAACCAAAATAAACAAGCAAACAAAATAAATGTATGGCTACAGAGAGAACAAACTGATGGTTGCCAAATGGGAGGAGCATTAGGGAGATAGGTGAAAAAGGTGAGGGATTAAAAAGTACAAATTGCCAGTTATAAAAATAGTCATGGAGATGCACAGGGAATACAGTCAATAATACTGTAATGACTGTGTACAGTGTTAGATGGGTACTACACTTCTTAGAGAGATCACTCCCTAAGTAACATAAATGTCTAATCCCTCTGTTGTACACCTGAAATTAATATAACATTGCATGTCGATTGTAATTTTAAAATTTTTTTAAATTTAAATGAGAACCAAAGACCAAAATATGAAATCAAACAGAAAGTATAGTATCATTTTTAAGGCACTTGGCTTGGCTTAATAAAATTAAATGGCTGAATTTGGAGCTATTGCATTTTCAAACTTCAGGGAATTAAAACTTAAAAAGGAATTTATAACTATAAAAAATACTACAGGTTATATTTGAAATTCATATGCAGTTTCCTTTTGCATCATACAAGTTCATTCTGTGATAAAAAGTGTATGTTGGTTATTGTCATTAGAAAGAAAAATATAGCCTTATTCTGATAATCAACTATCTACTATTTCCCTGTCCCCCCACCCCCAATGCTCTGCTTAATGTAGGAATCTATTTTTTTTAGCATTTAGCATTCTAAAAATACATGCTGAAGAAAGGTCTCTACCAGCCAAGTGAAGTTTAGAAAGAAGGCAATTATGTGAATAATTCAGGTGGAAATTCTACTTTCACCTCAATTATTTGAATAATTCATATAAAACCAAGGGTTTTGATTGAATTCCTTAGATAACTGTTACATTTTTTAACTGTACAATGCTGGGGTCGTTGCCCAATAACAGATTTACTTTTGATTTTTGTAGGAAATATTGAGACTCTTTTTGAAGACTGAAGATTCCTTTAATTCCCATATATTTATTTAAGTCTCCATATTCATTCATTTTTAATTTCTTAATTTAAATTCCTTAATTTAATTTTTAATTAAATTTCTTAATTTTTAAGATTTTCTGCAACCTTGCCTCAGTAACCCCGTTAAACGGATGATCAGCAGGGCAAACTTTCGAGAGCACTGCCTCACTTCTCTCCCTGTGTGCGTAGTTACTCCTTCTTATTTATTTATTCTTTTAGAGAGAGGGAAAAGGAGGGAGAATGAAAAGGAGAGAAACATTGATGTGAGGGAGAAACATCCATTGGTTGCCTTTCACAGGTGCCCAGACCGGAAGCAGAACCCACAACCCAGGCATGTGCCCTGACCAGGAATTGAACCAGCAAGCTTTTGCTTTGTGGAATGATGCCCAGCCAAGTGAGCCACACAGCTCAAGGTATACAGTAATATTTTAAATATTCTCATGTTGATATCCTAATCCCAAAACACAGTAGTTCCCCCTTATCTACAGAAGATATGTTCCCTGACTCCCCACTAGATGCCTGAATTTGCAGATAGTACTAAACTGTTTATATAGACTGTGTTTTTTCTTATACATTCATATGTAAGATAAAGTTTAATTTATAAAGTGGACACAGTTAAAAGATTAACAAACATAATAATAAAATAGAACGGTTATAACAATATACTGCCACGAAAGTCACGTGCATCGCTTTGGGGCCATCCTTAAGTAAAATAGAGGTCACTTATACACAGGGATGGAGATAATAGGACAATTGATGTGATATCTGAGCAGGCCACTTAGTGACTAAGGGGCAGGATACTCTGCATCAAGGGGTGATTAACATCGCAGACAGGACAGAGCAAAATTTCATCATGGTACTCAGAAAGGCATGCAATTTAAACTAGGAATTGCTCACTTCCGAAACTTCCCACTTAATATTTTCAGACCATGGTAGACCACAGGTAACTGAAACCCTGGAAAGCAAAGGTGGGCTACTGTATTAATGGAAATAATTGCTTCATAGCAAATATTGTTTTTAATGTAAATAATTATCCACCTAACAATATCATTTCCAACTTTCAATTACAACATTGAAAAAAATAGATTTCTTAGACTGATGAATAATCAGGTTCAATCCACATGCTGTCCTATAGGATTATTTGAAGATTATCCTGTAAATGGTGATCATAGAGATAACTGACACATCCATATTCTTCTTATTAGATAATAAAAACTTATTTAAGGTGACTGTGAATGTTGCTAAAAGCCCACATTTCCTAAGCACACTTGCAACTATGCAGAGCCATATAACTACGTACTGGCCAGTCAGATATAAGCAGAAATGTTGTAAAGACCATGAAGGAGGTTTCTTGAAAGGAACTCACTTAACTGGCAGAATAGCCCTTTTGTCCTCTTTTGCCTCCTCCTGCTGCTGCCTTGCAATGAGCAAATGATGACGGAAGCTATAGCAACCATACTGGATCATGAAGTGACCTTGTAATTGGGAGCTAAGGTGTAAGAGGAAAATAGAATTAGGGTCTCTGATGGCACCAGGGAGCCACATAGTAACAACATCCATATTTCTACCCCAAACTTGTTTTCAAGAATAGGAAATAAATTTCTATTCTAATTAAAGTGATACTATTTAGTCTCTTCCTATTGTTCATAGTTTAACCTAACCCCGATGATTATTATTTTTTAACTGAAATAACTGATTTGCTTCAATAGTTTCTTCTTTATTGTGGCCATACAAACACTGCTACTTTAAATATTTTTCTTTGAAAACCTCAATTACATTGGCTTTTGTGTGTTCCTTTGCTTTGTTGCTGGAGAACACTGCAGGTTTCCTATCTGATATCCATTCTCCCTTTTGTCCTTACTGATGGAAACACAAGTTTGTTTAGAGTAGCAATGTGCCCAGCTGAAATATGAGGCCACAGAACAGAAGTTTGAGAAATTATAAGAAGAAATATGCTATGGATCCTAGAAGGGTCTTTCCTAGGAAGTTTGATTGCTTTCTTTCCTGTAAGACTAAAGGGTGTAATATTCCTCTTGAAATCATAAGGCAACAGTTCTGAGAACAAAAGTTACAAGCTAAGGATGACAGATCAGTAGTTTAGCAGACTGCAATATTCGTGACCTCACAGAAGCATTGCATAAGCCCTGGATTGCCTACATCCAAACTTCTTGTTTTGAGAGCAAAATAGCCCCTATTGCCTTTAGGCATTGCCATCAGATTTCTGTTACCTCACTTCCATGAAGCTGAACAAAATAAAAAAAATTCTACCCTTTTGCTGCACATTTTTACAAGGACCATACCATTCCTGATGGTTGCGTCTGAACCTAATTTGTTAGAAGCAATGACTTTTTTCAGTAGTACACACATATGATACATTCTCTATGGTGTATTATAGAATGGTAGGCTTAAATGACTTCATGTCTTTATATTTCAGTCCACAGATTGTTTAAACATGTTAAAATATATGTATATATATGCACATACATACACATAAATACATACTTAAACAAACTTGATTAGGTATATTGCCATAGTTTTTATGTCTTCTTTTATTTGGCAATCAACTATGAAAAGAAATAAAACTTTGAATTAAGCGAAACTGTATAAATATTTGCTGTATAAAGTAGTAGGACTAAATGCACAGACTTAGAGGGTTAACACAATAATTAGTACAACTGGGGGAAGCAAAGTTCTTTGAGTGACTGCTAGAATTTGAAAATTTAGGAAGGGCAGGAAGCATGGGGAACCATCAACACGATCCTTGTTGCCTGTGGTAGCAAGCCTCAAAATTTTCTTATACCACAAGGCTACTGGCATAACATTTCATCTCATCAGCCACTTGCTGATACCTACAAGGTTACTGTTGCTGAGATGAATGACTTCTCTTTCCCTTCCTTCTCCAAAATTTTGCACCAGTGTCTCTCATTGGTAGAGTCCAAGTTGGAATGCTGCTGGCAACAGAGTCTGCCAAATATCTGATAAAAGGGAGAGCCTCAAAGGGTAAGGATAATGCTGACCATCAATAAGTAATATTTGGCACAATTTCTAAGCCATATGACCTATGTTCTCAGGTACCCAAATACAAAGAAAAGAATTCCTATGTTCATTCATTCATTCATTCATTCATTCACTTGTCTATTAGATTTAAGAATTCTTGTACTTTTAAATAAGATTAAGTATGTAAAAACACTTATAACTTACATTATTCTCTTGACTCCACTAACAAATCTCAATTTTGAGTTCCTCTAGATACCCTTCAGATTACTAAGGTGACTGCATGGCAGTACCGTCAAGGTGGACTTTCTGACTGTCCCAGAGATGTTGAGGAAATGTAAGCTTGCATAAGCATCTGTTTACTTCTGTCGATATTTCTGCTCCTGGCCTCCTAATATGTCTGTAAATTAGTGTCAAAAGCATTTCTGCAAAATCAGACCTTATTCTTCCCAACCATTACTTTGGTGATGTGCATTACTTTGCACATCACTTAAGTTTCTGGGACAATCATATAAGAACAACTGAGTACTATATATAAAATACTATGCAAAAATTTGTCTTCAGAACATTAAGTTTATACCTTCTCCTTAAAATCTTTTAGGTATTCTTTTATCAAATAGCCACTAACTTCAACTTCTGTTATACTGACTTTCAGATAGCACTGAAAGATAAGGCCTCTTGATAGGCCTTGCTAATTGTCTTCTATATTTGTCAGAAGTGATTTTATGTCTTACTAAATACTCATTCCATTTTGCTTTGCTTAAAATATGAGGGGTGTGAGCTTTATTTGGCTACCTTAGTTTTAGAAATCTGATATCAAATATACAAGTGTTTCTTCTTTAACTATGCATGCATTCATGAAAAAAACACCTTGTGTTCCACAAAGTCATTCACTAAAAATAATCATCACCCTGGAGAAATAAATAGAAGCTCCAATTGAGATAAAATCCTTGCAAAACACATGTATGATAAAGGACATATATCCAAAATATACAAAGAACTCTTAAAACTCAATGATAAGAAAACAAATCACCCAATTAAAAAGCAGGGAAAGACCTGAACAGACACCTCACCAAAGAAGATATAAAAATAGATAATAAACATGAGATGTTTAATATCTTGTGCCATTAGAAAATCAAATATAAAAACAACAATGGGATACTTCTATATAGCTGTTAGGATGGCTAAAATCCAAAGCACTGATAACACCAAATGCTGATGAGGAATGTGAAGCAATAGAAACTCTCATTTCTTGCTGGTAGGAATGCAAAATAGTATAGCCACTCTGAAACACAGTATTACAGTTTCTTACAATGCCTAACATACTTTTAACACTTAATCCAGCTATCATACCCTTAGTTATTTCTGAAAATGACTTGAAAACTTTTGTTCACACAACAACCTGCACATAAATGTTTACAGCATCTTAGTCATAATTTCAAAAAATTAGATGCAACTAAGATATGCTTGAATTGGTTAATGGCTAAGCAAACTGTGGTAGAGCCATATAATGGAATGGTAGTGAGCAATAAAAAGAAATAAGCTATCAAGGCATGAAAAATCATGGAGGAACTTAAATGTACACTGCTAAGTGAAAAAATGCCAGTCTGAAAAGGTAACAGAGTCTACATGACTCTATACATACGTCCTAGAACAGACAAAACTGCAACTACAGTAAAAGGATCAATGGTTTCCAGAGCTTTACCAGGGCAGCTGGGGGCAATGGGAGGAATTAGTAAGTGGAGCACGGGAGATATTTAGATAAGTGAAACTATTCTGTTATGATATATAAGGGTAGGTACACAACATTATGAATTTGTTAAAATCCATATAACTAAACAGCACAAAGTGTAAACTCTAATGTAAACTATGGACTTTACTTAATAATAAGGTATCAATATTGGTTCATCAATTGTGACACATGCATCATAAATGCAAGATGTTAATAACACGTGAGACTGTAGGACAAGAAAAAGGAGGTATATGGGGACTTTCTAAACTTTCTGTTGATTTTTCTGTAGTCCTAAAGATGCTCTAATAAATAAAGTTCATTCAATTAAAAAAGTAACTGGTAAGATTTAGGGAAATAAACAAGTTGAGGAAAAATCCAATGTAACTCCCCCGAACTTCACAAGAACAGCACTACAAAAGCCTAATGAAAACGCTGGCACAGTTAAAAATAAAATTTCAAAATGTACATTAGAGCATATAGAACTCCATTAAAAAATTAGTTAAGAATGATGCAAAAGTATAAGGAAAGGTTGATTTATGAAAATAAAAGCAAATGCACAAGGATCAGGGAGAACTGTTCAATACGGACTTCAAGAGTGAGCATGTGGCAAGACTGAGCCCAGAGGAAGAAGGAGTGGTGAGTGGGCATAATGTAGAGGACAGCTTTCCACCACAGCTTACTCCACTCCGCTGTGTTGGTGGAGTTAGGGTTAAGCTGCTTTTACTTGGTAGTCAAAACACTAATGTACTAGAGAAAATCATGTATAAATCAATTGATTTCCATATTCTATCGACATTCCTACTTGCCAATAACTATTCATATTACACAAACATAAGCCATAGCAGAATAAACTGCTTTTGTTTCCCTGTTTCTTTACACCAGCAAAATAACTTAAGCCAATTAAATATACTGTAGTTACAGCTCCTACATTTGTGGAGAATGTGCTCAAGATACCTTATCATACTTACTAGATTCAACAGTAAATATCATAGAAGGTTTTAAGTACTCTTTGCATGAATCAATGTGTAATAAAATTATGAGCAATAAAATTAAAACTAACTAAATAAAACTTCATAGATGACTCTGAATTGAAATATTTAGTGCATTTTCTTTGTAAAAGAGTTTACCAGCCAAACACAACATCTCATTTTCAGTGGGACTCATAAATAGACAACAATAGATCATTATCTACACCAAGTGTCACCATGCTCAATTCACTTATGAGTCCACTTACTTAGCTAAAATCTTCACTGTTGACAAAACTCCCACACAGCTGTTTTCTAATCAAATTTAATCATCCTGTTACCGTACTCTCTAATCCTATTTCAGCATATCCCGCACTGGCTACTTTCTAGAGATGAGATGGTAAAGTGACGCCTTCTGGTTTCTGAGGAAATCTAAGGGAAGAAAACAGAAAACTAATGGAATTGGGGTGGGGAGAATCACACACATGCCCCCACACACACACACAAAACAAACCCATAGGTCTTTAAGTCAGAATACTTAGTTGCAAAACAGAATGAGACCATGGATTATTTATTTATAGCAAAAATTTAAAAACCACTCCTTGCATTATTTTGAGATTATAAAAATGGATTTCCAAGGGCCCATGAATGCCTTGAGTTGTGGGCAAAATTATCTGTATCTGTTTACTTTTTAGGTAGAGAGTATATATTTCTTATTGGAATTTTAAAATCATTCTTGATCCTCCAAAAATATTAAAACCACTTATGCAGGAAAAAGCTATGGGTAGCTTCAAATGACAATCAAAATAGGTAGAAAAGCATTAAAAAAAAACAAACAGTTGACTTTTGGATATAGCTAATTGCCTAATACCATCTAAAGCCAAATAAGTATTGGATTAGATTTGTAAATGTTTATAAGAAAAGTAATTCATATTTGTCTTTAATCATTTTAACTTTTTATTGGAAAGTTTCATATCTAACATTTAAGTAAATAACAAAAAGGCACAGCAACATTAAAAACATTTTAACTCATAAAGAAAAATCAAATTTCTGCCAGAATGATTTCCATAAAAACCTGAAGGTAACAGGTTGATTCAATAAGTTTAAGAGATGATCCCACTATAATAAATGAGAGGAAGTCCAGTTCACTGGAGCCAGGGTGGCAAGTATTCATTGCAAGCAAAATTTCCCTTTGAAAAGAACACTGAACTGACATATTAGAGGAAATTTCTTGCTCTCAGTTTCTTTGTGACACCCTTATTCTACAGTATATTCATTAGGGCAAAGCTGTCATGTTCTTTAAATTTCTATAGTTACCATGTCTTCTAACAAAGTAGATAATTAACATTTCTACTCTCTGACATAACAAAAAGTCCTAGTCTTATAAGACACACTATTTATAGTGTGTAGAAGAGAAAAAAGGAAGTAAAATGTTTAGAAATAAAGCTGATCTGTAGTTACATAAGTTGACATTTTCTTCTGGTAGCTAAATATTTATAATTTAGTCTAAATTAGATTTCATCTCCAGAACAAACTAGATAATCTTTTGTCTATATTTTAGTATCATTGAAAACAAATTTATAAAGCAAATATATATATCTACCCAGTAGTCAAAAATTTTCACCAAAAAGTAGAGAAATAAATGTATTCATTTAATTATTTTTTATTTACTGACTCCATTGCTGATTTTATTAGAACATTTACATGAGGATATATATTAAAACAGGTAATTTAAAGAAAATAATATACCAATATCTGGGGAAACAAAATTGCATCAGTCAAAGCAATAGAAAAAAACACAAATATAAAGGCCTTGTAGTCTTATAATGTTAGTAATCTGTAGCTTTTAATTTGAATCTGACATCCCTGGTAACTAAAAGTAAAGGCAAATGTGATCAAATTTATGATAAAATACATTGTATATAAGAGGAGAATACACCACATACTTTGGGATGGTTTCAGTGGCAAGGAGTGGTATGAGAGTCCAATTCATTAAATTGGTATTTTAAAATGTTTTTGAAGGGATGTCATAAAGGAATAGAAAGTGATATGTTAGGTAAGTTTTTTGTAACCATCCTATAGTTGATGTAGAGCAGGTTGTGTAAGCTGAGGGTTGTTTTATGTAGAATATTTGTGTATAAGCTGAAAGGGAACGTAAAGGCAATTTTGTTTGGGGAAGATCTAAACAATGCCACCCACATATTTACCTTCATAATAATTTGGATTGCTCTGAAAATAAATCATAGACTATCCAGAAGCATATGCTAATCACATGTTCTTTAGAAGAGCATTCAAATACTTCATACCTTCCAACAATTTTAAAAAAATTAAAGTAGGGCCACAGACATTGTTAAGAATCTAAAATACAGGTATGCTAGGTTTTATTCTATTTTTCATTACTTCTTTGGTGATAGGAATAAAATATAAGTTACTAATCTCTGTGCTACTATAGAAGTTTGGAGAAATTGACAAGTTATTGTGTATTGTATCTCATCAAGGACAAAGACCAAATTTTACCTATCTTTGTATCCTAGCATCTAGCAAAGAAGTGGAACATAATAAACTTTTAATCCATTATTCTCTCTTGAATGAGCCAATTTTCAGACTTTTCAGAGCTTCACCTTTGTTCATATAGCTGGAGAAAGGTCAGGGTTATGCATGAACTACAACCAAGTAATCTAATTTATAGTCAAAACTTTTCTTTGGCATCAATTCAAAATCATTAACTAAAAGCACTGCATCAAGGTAGATATAAATTTTTTTAATGCCAGAAAATAAACCTTCAAAATATAACTATACCTGTGTTATGTCAGTGACACGACAGGTCAGCATTCGCTCAAATGATCAATGAGACAATGGCCATATCTCACTTTCTAAACTGGGTGAGAATTATGCCAGTAACATCCAGATTTTTAAAACCAGTGGCCTGAGCATTTACTATTCAGCCATATTTAAGGACATAACTTTACAAGTCAAGTTTTCTAATTACAACAAATCTTTTGAGTAGGACCCATACATCAACAGTAGAATCGTGAAACTTAGCCCTGCTCCCTTGAACCGGGCTTGAAAAGAGAATGGTGATAGTAGATCATAGTATGGAAATATAGAGTGGAGTAAACTATAGTGTGTATCCAAACAACGTCAAAATCAAATGATCAAATTCACAAAGTTTGTTAATATTGTGCAAATAAAATGGTTAACCCCTGCACTTAATATGAATAGAATAATCTTGCAACAGGCTGGAAACATACATAGAATAATAGGTGAAATAAAACGACCTCCTTTCCATACTCTATAGGTGACTACATTGCCAGAATACAATATTTCTAGCACCTCACTACTTGAAGTGTGGTTTGGAGACTAGCAACCTCTGGCATCGCCTTGGATATTGTTAGAAATTCTAAGTCTGAAGCCCAACCTCACATTTACTGAATTCATATTAGTATGATCCTTATAACTGAGTTTGGAGAACAAGACCCCTAAGTAAAGACAAAGTGAGAGGTTTTTACTGTTTTCATTTTGTTTTGCTTTCATTGTGGTTTAAGCTTGGATTCAACATACTTAACACTTAGGGGATTTATATGCACATTAAATTTCAAGAGGCACTGCTTTAGCACCTAGTACCCCCCCACATACACACAAAAGGATGTTAGTAAGCTTTAAAAATGTCAATAAGACCATGGCTATGACTGGAAGAAGATACTTCTATTTTTTTCCTTTGGGGGCAGTTAATTCACCCATATTATACGGTGTTTACTAGTTTTAAATGAAAAAGAATAACCTTTTTGTTTCTAGTAAAATCATGTATGAATTCCAAGTTATATATTGCCCATTTCTGAAATGCCATGAAATTTTCTAAATTAGTAAATACTATGAATGACCACAAAGTTTGACTTCACTTTGTAATTAAACTATAACATGATTTTACAGGTTATTTTACATGAACAATAACCCCATTCTGTATTTACATTTCCCAAGTTGAGGAAAATGTAATAATTTATAAGATCAATAATTACGTTTTTAGGAAATCTACAGGTGTTTGCAACTTGTAGGTTCTGGATATCATATCCAAACAAGAATAGAAGTGGAACCTTTTAACTGAGTTTGGAGAACAAGACCCCTAAGTAAGAACGAGGTAAGAGGTTTTTGCTGTTTTCATTTTGTTTTGCTTTCAATGTGGTTTAGGCTTGGATTCTATGTATTTAACACTGTTTAGGAAATATGCCTCACAACTGCACATGGGCTTTATTGCAGTGTCCCTGGTCTGGTGTCATCCAGCTCCTGTGCTGGAGCTAGGTCTTACTACGCAATTTTCAGCACTACGGACAGCGCTTAAGCACCAGTCCAAGAAGGGAGGGGATCCGGTTGGGTTTGAGTGGAGGAGAAAGGTGGAGCAGGGTGAAGGAACCGAAATGCCGCATGCGGTCCCCAGTTAAATCTTTCACTGTGTCTTTTTTGTATCATAGAAGACAGGCATAAGAATTTAGAGCCATCAGAAACACGCGCGAATGCGAAAATATTTACACATTGCTACATCGAAGTAATCTATGCACATTTTTCTGCAAATACACTCGCGCGCGCACACGTACTTCGTGGGCGCCCACGTCCTCTTCCTCTCACCGACAGATACAGACATTTACACACGTAGGCCAGGAAAGCGCTAACCACGGTCCTGTGACTCCACGCAGGTTCCCAAGGCACGCCTTTTACATTATTACTGAACCGATCAGCGAACACAGACAAACCAGCCAGCACTTAAGTCTACTCTCTGGATTTCATCTCCATGGCAACAAGCATGGAAGGTGAGACAACCCTGCCTAAGAAGTAACTTTCTCCCCCTACCCTGCGCATTAACTGAAGGGTTCCAGGGCAGGTCCAGATGAGAAGCATGTCCTCATTCTCTTGTATTTCTGAAGCTAGGAAGAGGGGAAGGAGGTGGGGGAATGGGGGGAAGGAGCCTGCAAGTCTGGTGAGTTCAAATTCTAAAGGAGAAAGAGCACAAATGTTTCTGTTGCTGCTGCTGCTGCTGCTGCTGCTGCTGCTGCCAAAAAAGCAAAGCAAAACAGAGAGCATATGTGTATGCAGTTTGCTGATGCTTCTCCCATGTTTTGCAGGTTTCTATGCTTCTTCTGTTTAATATGTCCAAAGAGAACTGCAGACAAACAAGGCAGAATGATGATGATAGTCTAGGTTTCTCTAGTGAGACATTTTGGGAATTTACAGAGAAGGTTTTCAGTGCTTTGAGAGGAACGAATATCAGAGTCCTTGAGGAATCATCCAAAGATTCTCTTAAGAAGGAAATTCTCTTAAGGTTGAAATCCGAATGGTTGGGGGATGGATTTTGACAGACCCCAAGGTTTTTCATCCCTGGAAGGCCTGAAATTTATGCACTTCATCATGATGAAGACATCTGGGTTTGTAATTTAGGGTTTTCTTTTGATTCCAACACATTCCATTCCTAATGATTAACTAGCTCTGTGCTGATGTGGCCACAATAATATTTCTTTTCCCTCTATTTTTAATAGGATTTAATAACCTTGATATATGGTGTGGAAGTATGTGTGTGGGGGGAGGGTTCATTATTTTTAAGCTTGGGTTTCCTTATGTGTCTGATTTCATGAAATTATAAATATACACATTATTAGCATTAGAGATTATTATATCTAATGACCAATACCAAAATAATTTCCATCCAGAACATCATATTATACTATAATAGTTGTTATTTCCAATTTACTGTTTGGAATATTATTAATAGAAGAATAAATTAGAAAAAACCTGTTGATTAAAATAAATACAGGAGGTTCTTTATCTTTAGTGGGCAATATTTTCAATATTGGTTCTCCAATTGTACATTGCTGCATACAAATTAAATAACTATGTTTCTGAAAAATGAATTTTTATATCTTCAATCAGTAAACTTTTATCATAGAAAAACAAGCATCACACCTAACACTGATATTTATAAAGAGTTATGTATCAGGTATAAAGAATACTGCTATCTTTGCTTGACTACCCACATGGTATGATTTGTGAGACTTAATATGGAAAGATTTTACTTATTGGTTAATAACCACAGTGAGATTTGGGGCTTGTGGTGTCTATAGGCATAACCTTGGCTCAATCCTATGATTCAATCCTCAGGACTTAGAGATCCCAGATTTTGACAGTTGTCATGTAGTAAATGATGTGTTTTTTAACTTAATTTTTTATTTCTAGAAGTATCTAAATAATTATTTCAGTGAATATGGCTTAAGGCAATATCTTTTTGCAGTACTACTACAAAAATGTACTTAAATGCTTTTATCATAATAAATATGGACCTTGATATTTAAACTGTCCAGTGTTGATCATTTTACCCATTTTTTGTTAGGCAGTATTTTAAAAATAACTTTTACCCCACAATTTTACATTCTACTCTTTTTGAAAAATTTTGTTTTTAACTATTTTTTCTCACAAATGTTTATTTATGGTTTTGTACCTTCATGATCTAGATTTCCGTCTTTTACTATTTCCCAGTAAACAGTATGTTAAGATGATGGCTTCCCTCTGAGGTAGGCATTAAAGGGTCTGTTATGCAGGAAGAAATTGCTGGGGTTTTTTTTGCTTTCTCATCCATCCAGGGATTAGAGAAACTGAAATATATTATTTATCCACAATTGTAGAATAATTTTGGATACTTATTAATTAATGAAGAAATCAGTGTTGTAACTGAAGACTTCTATTTATTAACAGTAGCTTATTATTGACATTGCTCATATCATATTGTCCTCTTCACCAGTATGAAGGTGCAAAGTTCAGCACACGTAGCAGTATATTCTCAAACACTTCAGACTCTGTGTTGAAGTGAGACAAGTTGTTCACCTTGCAGAGCAAGAAAAATGGAGAGTTTGGGCAAATGTTTAGGAAATTTAGGCCTGAAAATATTGGTATTTCAATTTCTATATAAAATTGAATTGGATTAAATGATCAAAAGCATCTATTTGCTGAAAACATTGTTAGGCAATTGCTTAACTTTTTACTTTTCTTCTTGTATAGAAACAGCCTAGAGAAATGGCCAGACTTTCTTCAACCTTGAATACTAACTACCCTTTCAGTTACTCTCCTTGACCTGTATTTTGTTTTTATTTTCAGTAGAATGTAGAATTTTAAAACTACTATAAAAGTCTAAGGTCTTTCTTTTAAGATACTAACAAAACAACTGTTCTTTTTTACCCCAATTTTTTGTTCAAAATTGAAATTTCATAGTTCTTTTGAAACCCAAGTGAATTTACTCAGCTCTACTTTAAAAACTGAATATATAGTCATATTCTTATTACTGAAAGTGCTTAGTGTAATAATCTCAACTTCTGCATTTTTAACTTTTGTGCAAATAAAACTTCTTTTCTGTCAAGTTTCTTTTACCACCTGACCCCATATTCTCCTTAACCTTCTGTCTTAAACCCTTTTCATTTGAATGTCTTTCCTGGAGTTTCAACTGAAATTTTTAAATGACGCAAAAATTCTGAATGTCAATGCCCTATTTTTCAGTGTTTAGTTCCAATTACCACTGAAGAATTTGACACTGTTTACCCACCCCTTTTAGACACTCCAGCCTCCTTTGTTCCAGGTGAGCTTCCTACTGTGGTTTTACTCATAGTGGGATCACTCCTTATACAACTCCACAAGCAGATCCTATTGTCTTCTTTTAAAGAAAACATTCATTGAAGCTCATTCATTCCTCGGCTTCTTTCATCTTCAATCCTTTCTAGCACATGCAAATAGAACCTTAATGGAATTACAATAAATTGCCCCTGGATCAATTTGTAACAAGTAGATCTGACTTCCTATAGTATCACACTCCAAATATTTGGATGCAACTATCATCTTCCTTGATCTTTCCTTTCCTAGTCAAAATTCAGCAGTTCTTTCCATCTCTTAAATTTTGATCTGCAAAATTTTGATGCTTGTCTGTATGGGATACTCCATCTGGTATGCATTCTTCTACACAAAATTTATTTGACAATAATGCCCTTAAAATATTCTCCCCACCAGCAATTTTATGCTGGACAAAATAATGTGGATTAATTTGTTGAAAACTGCCTATTAAAGTGTCTGCCATGATCCACTAATTCACTAAGTCCAGCACAGAACTCTTCATTTCCTTTATAAGTTTATACTTTGCTCATTTTTCCTTCATTTTGGTTAATGAAAACACTGTTTTTGCACTTATCCAGTCTTCACAGAGTGGAGTCACCTTTGATGCCTCTCTCTCTTCATGGCCCACTATGTTAGTGCGTCCTATCCTTCATATCTTTATAAATGTCTTTCAAACCCATTCCATCTTCCACACATTCAGTTTGTAGTCCAGGCCCACGTTGCTTCTCACCTGGACCATTTCTTTCCATGATGCTTCTTTCCTGAAACCTATGTCTACTTCAGTCTCATCATCAGACCACTTGGCCTCTAGGCAAATAAATTTCAAACTTGGCCTGACAGTCAAGATATTTCACATTTTGGCTTATACCAACTTGTCCTAATACCTATTGGTTTGTTTCCATTACTCTCCTTTGCTTGGGCCAAATTGTGCACTGTCCTCTAAACAAATCCAGAACTTTTCTGCTTCCATATTTATTGTCATGCTCTTTCCTTCTACACATATCTAAATCTTCTGTTTCAAGACTCAGTTCAAATACAGTCCCTTACAAGAAAAACTTTCCTGATCCCTAAATGGGTGAAGTTTCTATTCCCTCTACATTTGATTATCCTCTTTGAATCTCTTTTTTCATCAAGTTGTTGAAGATAATATCAATGCTGTATTATTATTATAGAGAAAAAATAAAATATCATGTAAAGGAGCATTTGGTACACAGCCTACGTTAAATACAGGTTTGTTTCCTTTGTAGAAGCCTATACTGTTTCATTCTTGTTTGTGCATAGGTTCCCTCCCCTACGAGTTGAGTAATCTCTTTGAATAGAGAGGGCTTTGTCTACTAGAACATATTAGTAGCAACTTAATAAATATTTTTACATGGTATCTTCAGGATTTTTTAGAAAATCAAATAAAAGTTTTCTTGTTCTTTTTACTTTTACTAAATGTATTTTAAGGTTCTGGATGTTTAAAACTTAGATATTTTAAAACCAGAACTTTATTCATTAATATAATATTTTTCAATACATTTAATTCAATTCAATTAAAATATTTACTGAGTACTTACAATATGCCAAGAATTGTGGCCGCAACTTAAGAATTAGTTATCGTTTCATAAAAATGATAAGTAACTCAATTTACAGACTGTCTAAGATGCTAAGAACAAAGCACTATCTGATATATGTTAGACAAATTGTAATATAAAATATGAGGGTGTTTGTATCTCTTACTAGAAAGATACCTTGTTTTTAATTACTATTCCCATTCAATATTATTAATATTTTACATTAGTTTCAGGTATACAGCATAATGATTAGACAATCACATACTTTACAAAGTGTTTCCCCTGATATTTCCATTACCACCTGGTACCATAAATAGTTATTACAATATTATAGACTGTATTTCCTATGCTGTACTTTACATCTTCATGACTACTTTGTAACTACCTATTTGTAGGAAGATACCTTGGTCTAATTTAATAGTGACAAATTAGTTGTGTTTTATTGCCATAGCTAGAAAATGCATTTTTATTTGTTTATTTGTTTGCTTATTTTGTTTATTTGTTTGATCATTTAGTAGATTTGAATGAGAAAAAGAGTCCAGTGGATTAATCACTGGCTAGGAGCCAACCTAACAAGACTTAACTCGTAATGATCAGCTGCCATCCTGTGTCTGTCTGCTTTGTGATTTTTAAAAACACAAATAAATTTAACTAAAGCATATTTATACTCGATTTAGGCTGTTTCTACATGATGGCAAAATTAACTAGCTAAAAAATATACAGATCATTGAAACTGCTAGGTGCTTTAACTTTTGTGATACAAATTATTGTAAGTTGGTGTCCTCAGAAACCAGATTCTGAGGCAGAGTTTAGCATGCAGGATGTCTATTAATTAATGACCTTGGGCTCAACCCTGTAGAAAAGTGTGAATTAAGCAGGAGTGGGCAGAAGGTGACCTGTGGCTGGAACCAACAACAGCCTCAGTGTATATCCCATGTGAAACTCTAGAACTAGAATTGTCCTTCAGAATTATGCCCCTTTGTGTCAAGATAGCCAGGTCTTTTTATTCTTATGGCAACTGGCCATTGCAAATGGTCTTCCCTAGGAAGTGTCCTGACCTTGGTGAGGCAGCTCTCTGCTACTGAGGCCACCTGTGAATGGGGCTGACAGTTGAACCCCAGCTGCTGGCAGCACTCCCAGCTGCTGGGCAGGAAGTCACTCAGTGAAGGGAGTCTGCTGGGCACACCACATTGTTCACCAGTAAACCGAGTTTACTGCCTCCTCTTACCACATGTCCCCTGAAATAGTCTAATGGTATAACCTAGAAAAGTCATGGCTTTAATGAAAAAGCAATTCAAACAAGTTACTCGGCTCAATCATTCAGTTACATGACGAATATTGGGCCCAACATCTCCAAGTAGAAAACATCCTGCTTTTTAGTTTCTCCACCATTAAACAACCAAAAAAAAAAAAAAAACCCAGAGCATGTATAGATCTCAACAAAATATGTTCAAGCGACAAAAGCAATAAAATTAGAGATTAAGATGGAAAAAGTTCTAGTTAAGTCCCAAGGTCATTAGATATTCAGTGCCATCTCCTATACCTTCTACAGGATAAATTGTGCAAGAACTCAATCTTCAGAAAAACCATTCAGAGCCACTCTAAGTGATCCTACTTTTCTTAAAGTATATTCACTATACCATACTTATTAGGACATAAAATGATTTGAAGGAAAAAATTCAGCAAGAAGGATTAAAACAGTATTTTTCCTTTTGTTTTTGTTTAATAACAAAAACATCAAATAACCAGCACACTCCAGAATGTATTGGAATCCAAGCATTACAAAATAAAATGTTGATATTAACTGGTATATTAGTTGGTAAGTAATTTTAAAAGCTACAAGGTTTGTTTTTATTAATTACTTCTTCTCCATTTCTTACCATTCATTAAAAAAACCCTGAAGGGCCAGCCATTTTAATAAACATAGTTCTTAAAAATTATCAGAAGAAGCAGCAACCAAACCCAGAAACAAAACTTCCACATGACAACAAACAAAAATGAAAATACTAACAATCTATAGTCCTCGGTTATTCAATGACAAGATAATTTGGTGACAGTCCTCTCAAGAATGGTAGCTGTGGGTTAGTAACCATTGATTTCATTAGTTGATTCAAATTGGAATCAATTTAATTAACATTAAGACATCGAGTGGGAAAAATTTTGGCTTCAATTTGACACCCACTTTCCCAACACTTTTGCCGTAATTTTGGAATCCCACTATAGTAGGAACTTAGGGATGGGAAAGTTCCCTTTGGGAGGGGTCTGAGGAGCTCGCTCTGAAGCTGCATTTTTATAGTAAACATTTATTTAATTTGGACTTTATGTTTATGTAGTGTGTTCTGAAAGCTAATGGAGGTGGTCGAGATGCTTAGTGGTCCACATCTACTGTTGTGTGTTACTTGCAAGCTGCCATGTTGGGTACTGCACTTATAAACAAATTTTTAAAAATGCAATTTCTCTCTAACAAATTGAGATTTAGTGTATGGAATAGTGGCAGGAAATACATAGATATAAGTCTAAAGGCTATGGAAAAAGAGAGAAGACATGAAAAGGACAAGCATCTTCATCAGACAAAGGGACAATGGAGATAGACCTTGAAACCTGGACTTCAGAGAATTTGACCAGCTGACATCCTGTAATTATTTATTTATAGTAGTATGTACACATGCCAAATTAGATGATAATTCGGGCCAAAAGGGCAGAGGCTTAGCTACCTCACAATGCTTTTGATTAAAAGCTTTTAGGGTTAATTATTTGAATATTTACTTTCATACCTGACTTTATATTTAGCATATATAGGTACAGTTTTATGTGTCCACAAAGGCAATTACTACAATAGGAGTATCTTCTCCAATGCTCATGATTTGATTGTAATTTGATCGTAATTCATATCTAATGGTGTTTGCAAACATCTTTTGTGAGTTAAGTCAAGAGGGTTTAAAAACTGCTAGATTTTATAAAATAATTACCTGCTCAATACCACACACAGATATAACTAACTGATTTCAATTTTATATGTAGGCCAAGAGGTGACTCCAGCTGGAATTCTGAAGAGCCACAACGATGTGACAGTGAATAATGAGTAGTACCTACTGTGGCAACTCTTCAGCTAAGATGAGTGTCAACGAAGTATCAGCTTTCTCGTTGACTTTGGAGCAAAAAACTGTCTTTGCTTTTGTTGGGATTTTATGTATTTTCTTGGGACTTCTTATTATCAGATGCTTCAAAATCCTGTTAGACCCATATAGTAGCATGCCTTCCTCTACATGGGAAGATGAAGTGGAAGAATTTGATAAAGGGACATTTGAATATGCTCTCGCATGACAGTTGCAGCTTTATGGCTTTTAGTGCTGTGCCACTGGGACACATGGTGTTTACGGTTGTAATTACCTTGAAAGTGATGGAGACAGGCTCGTGTCATTCACTACATTCAATAAACATGTGTTGTTAATTTATCCACTGTGGTGTGTAAGTCTTAGACCACTGCTGGGTTTCCTAATTTTCCCCTGTCCCTCAATATTGTGGTTTCCAATGAATAGAGTAGAAGGATTATTCCAGCCATATATACTATTTTTATTCTTATCTCAAACATCTGCCTTAAATCTCTGCTTCCTTTTTGTGCTTATAAACTGTGCCACAGTCTGCCTGCTTCTGACCCTCTACAATGCCAAGACACTCTCTCTGCATTCCCAATTCTAGCCCACTCAGCATTAGAAAATCAGGTCCCTTAAGCATAAGGGACCCTCATTTTTTCTATATATAGATTTTATTGATTATGCCATTACAGTTGTTCTATTTCCCCCCTTCATTCCCCTCCCCCTGCACACCCCCTCCCCCACCATCCTCCCCCTTTAGTTTATGACCACGTGTCTCAAGTTTTTTAGATTCTATATTTCCCCTACTATTCTTGCCCTTCCCTCTCATCGCAAAGGATAAATCGAATATGATTTTCCTAATAATAGCCACTGGTCTAAAATGTTCATGGGTGTAAAATATTTTCACCAAACTAACACACAAACCTACATATAGACACAGGCCCTAAATATTTCCAAATCTTACAGTGCCCTGACCCTTCTAATTATTCTTCTAGAATATCTTGCAATAAAACGCCCCTTAGCTTGAGATTCAAACCAGACCTGCTTCATACTGATGCTTCCTCCACCTCTCTCTTTCTAAATTAAATTTATTGTGGTGATATTTATGAATAAAATTATATAGGTTCCAATTCTATGATATATAATCTGTATATTGCATTGTGTTCCCACCACCCAAAATCAAATTTCCTTGACGTCACCACACACTGGACCCCTCTACTCTTCTCCACCCTCTTTTCCTTCTGGTAACTACTGTATTGTTGTCTGTGTCTACGAGTTTTGGGGGGTCTTTTAGTTTGTCTTGTTTGTCCATTTGTTGCTTTCAGTTTTATATCCCATGTATGAGGGAAGTCATACAGTACTTTATCTGTCTGACTTATTTTTCTTAGCATGAAATGGTACATATATACAATGGAATACTAATCAGCCATAAGAAAAGATGAAATACTGCCATTTGTGACAGCACAGATGAACCTTGAGAGTGCCCTCCTTTCCTTTTATAAACAGCATGGAATGGAGAGTTTCCAGTGTGACCTGGAGGGAACAGCACTGTTCCAGAAACAGGAGGTCCAGTTTCTGCCCTGCCACATGGCAGCTACGTGAACATGGTCAAGGCAACCGATCTCTGTGGACTTCAGTGAGGAAGCCAGCTGGAGGGTTTTTAACAGCCCTTTGAATCCTAGAGTCCTGTGACCTCTACAAACATGCTTGGAAACCCAGAGATCTGAAATGAATGAGGACTTGAGATGTGATGAAAACTTTTTTTTTTAGTTTAGGAGCCTAAACTCAGAGATATGAATTTTCATATTGGCCCAGCTAAGAACAAGCTTTATGACCTAGATATTTACTTATAGGAGACTTATTTTCCACATCTGCAAAACAAGGATAAAGAAATCCATCCTACATGTCCTGTAAGGATGCTGAGGGGACTAAGTGACATAATAAATGTGAAAGGAACTTGAAAACCATAAAACCCTGTTTAAACATAATTTACTATCATTATTATCATCATTGGTAATAGTTATAGAAGTTCTCAAAATTTAAAAAGCACTGATTTAGTATAAATTATTCAACCTCTTCAGTTTTCAATCTATTTGATAAGTAAAAAGATAAAATTATATAATTCCAAATTCTTTAAAGCTATAAAATTCTGACTCTCTGTGATCACTGAATGAAGGATTAACAGGACATAAACAAATACAAAAATATTTGTGTCACTTGAGAACACAGAACTGCTAAACATACCTAAAAAAGAATGACTAATATTTACTGACGGTAAACACTAAATTAGGTGATTTTTATTAATTATGTGATATGATATTTTTATCAATCCTTTGAGTTCAGTACTACTATTTCCATTTTATTATCTCAGTCTCACAGATGAGAAAGTGAAGTTGAGAGAGACTGATTTTCAAAGGTCACCAAGCTAGAGAGTGGCTGCTTTAGAAATTGAACTTGGGCAATCTAGTGTCAGAGTCCTTGTCTGTAAACATCCTGCTGTACTCCAACATTGTCCTCATACTTCTTCATATCTTTAAAATATGGTCACTGCTCAGGTCGATAGTACTACAAAACCAGCTGCCTCAGAGAGATTCCTGGACACTTTCTATCTCCTACCTAGTAGGTTTAGAACACATCCTGGTTGGCTATGGATCTTCCAGAATAAACCCGTACCTCAGCAAGGTTTTTTGAACCTCAGTAGGTACAGGAGTGTCGGCCTGGGACATATTGTAATCAAAAAGTAATTTGGTCCAAGAACATCTCATTGAGCCATGTCCACTGGACACACTGAAAGTTGTATTTTCCAGGACATTTGGCTTCTTCTTTGTGAACCAGGATTTTAAAGTATTCACCAGGATATATGTCTAAGTACCAGATGCTACATTTGTCTGCCAGGGAAGATAGGTACTAGTTCCTTTATTTTGGTGACTAGAACATAAGGCTAGATCTTTTTTTCAGAAAGAAAGAAGACCCCCAAACCAAAAGAAAAGGAAATTTTATGAAGTATGAACATTATTTCAGAAGTTCAACATCCACAAGCTTTTTCAGATATCAATTTCACCATAACATTATTTCAATACCTCTAATGAGAAATTATTTTAACCAAAAGTGCCTTTTAGCTATGGGACATATTCATGGCCTATTGTGCACCTGAGACATTTGGTGGGGAGAGAAGAAGAGAGGTCAGCCTCTATAGTTTCACAGCAAGAAATAATACAAAAGATATAAAACGCTGGTTCTAGTATGATCACAGCTTAGAGACTTCTTGAAGTGTTAACCATTCTACAGACAGATGTCCGATGTCATACCCAGACCATCCCCTAGCGGCCCTCTCCCAAGAGCCCTACCAGGGAGGACAGGAAGAGAGACAGAGGAGCACACCACCAGGCAGGTTTCCCTTGGTACCTTGCCCACCGGCCTGAAATACCTCAACCGGGTTTACCTTTCAAGGCTGCATTTATGGTTGGCTTCACTCAGATCCCCAAACCATCTACCCAGCTCCAGGATGTCCAAATCCCTTTAACAGAAAGCAAAGGCTTTTATTTTACAGTTAGAGATAAAAGTCTTAGAATTTCAATGACTGCTTGATGTAAGACCAAAACTAAAACTAATTCACACTACCCTGTAGTCAAGTAGTCAGCAAGAAAAAAGGAAATTGACCACTATCAAAAGCATTCACAGTCTGCTGTAGAGTAAAAAAAGTTTATGAAATAAATAGGTGGATTGTATGGTGATTCTATTTTTTAATTAAAGTATAGTTGTATACAATATTATATGTTTCAGGTGTACAACATAGTGACCCTACACTTGCATAACTTACAATGTGATCACCATGATATGCCTAGTAACCATCTGTCACCATATAAAGTTATTGCAATATTATTGGCTGTATTCCCCAACTGTATACTTTATTTTTATAACTGGAAGTTTATATCTCTTATTTCCCTTCACTTTTTTTACCCATACCCCCATGCCTCTCCCCTGGCAACCATGAGTTCATCCACTTCTGGATGTATACCCAAAGAAATTTAAAACAGGGTACCCACATAATATATGGACACCCATGTTCCTAGCAGCATTACTCACAATAGCTAAAATGTGGAAGCAACCAAAGTGCCCATCAATGGATAATAATTGTAGTCTATACATACAACAGACTATTATTCAGCTTTGAAAAAGAACAGAATTCTGCAATACACTACAACATGAATGAACCTAAGGACATTATGCAAAGTGAAATAAGCCATTTACAAAAAGAAAAATACTGTATGATTCCACTTACATATAATGTTCTTAGAGTAGTAAAAATCATAAAAAAAGATTGGGAAATGGGAAGGAAAGAATAAGGAGTTATTGTTTAACTGGTATAAAGGTTTTTTTAATAAGATATAAAGAGATAGGGATAGATGGTGGTGATGGTTGCACAACATATGAATTTGATATCACTGAACCATATACTTCAAAATGGTTGAGGCAATAAATTTTATAAGTATATTTTACCACAGTGAAAATGCAAAAGCAAAATACAACAACGAACCTGTCCAGCACCATATCTCAGACAGGGAATATAATAAATGTTCATTCTATCCCCCTCCCCCCAAAAATAAAAAGAAAGAGAGAAATAAGTAGACTGCTGAGAGACAACAGGTGTTGGGGGAACGGTTGAAGGAAGGGAGACTAGAGGTGGCAGAGGTAACTGCAAGTACATCTACAGCTCCTGTCCAGGGCCAGTGAATAGGACTTGTTTGGGGTTTCAGCCTCATCTCAGCTGATTTAAACTACCAGCCCCAACTAGCTGAATCTGAAATGTGACTAATTCCTATGCCTGACTACACTCTATGTGGCAAGTCAAAATCCTTTGGAGAACAGATCATTGCTTTGTTCCCATGGCCTTTAGGAGCAGAAGAAGTTATAGGTGCATTCTTGTGATTCTCTCTCTCTCTCTCAGATAGATAGATAGATAGATAGATAGATAGATAGATAGATAGATATACAGTCTATCCAGAGGAAGTCCAGACATTGTTGATACAATGAGAATATTTGCACAACATCCATTAACCTGGCAGCCAAGGAGAGTAGACTGTAATGTGTATGCATGAACAATGATGACTTCACTATACTGGTCAGTGGGGGCAGTAGATGCCATTGAATGAGCATGTGGACTCTGTGGCCATCATATTCCAAATGACTGAGCTAGCAGAGCAACAAATCTGCATCAATTTTCTTTCTTTTTAGAAATGTTTTCACATTTTTATTGTTCTATTTCAAGTATAGATGTCTCTATTTTCTCCCCACTACTCCCCACCAGCCATCCCCACCCCTGTTCCTGCCCACCTTTGATTTTATCCATGTGTCCTTTATATGTGTTCCTGAAAACTCTTCCCCTTTTCCCTCCATTATCCCCTCCCACCTCTCCTCTGGTTACTTTCAGTTTGTTCTTTATTTCAATGTTTCTGGTTATATTTTGTTTGCTTGTTTGTTTTGTTGATTAAGTTCCACTTGTAGGTGAGATCATATGGTATTTGTCTTTCACCACCTGGCTTATTTCACTTAGCATAGCGCTCTCCAGATCCGTCTATGCTGTTGCAAACTGTAGGAGCTCCTTCATTCTTTCTATTGTGTAGTGTTCCATCGTGTAAATGTACCATAGGCATCAAATTTTGTATTAAGCTTGGAGATTCCTCCATGGAAACTATTGGGATGATTCATAAGGCCACAACTATGAGCAACTGGTGATTGGCAGCTTCATCATGACAACACATCTACTCATGCATCACATCTCGTACAGAGATGTTTGGTGAAACATCAGATCACCCAGGTGACTCAGCCCCGCTACAGCCCAGATTTGATGACCTGCAAATTCTGGCTTTTCCCAAAACTAAAACCACCTTTTAAAGGGAAGAGATTTCAGACTATCAATGAGATTCAGGAAAATATGAGGGGGCAGCTGATGGCAATGGGGAGAACTATGTGAGGTCCCAAGGTGCCCACTTTGGGGGGACTGGGGTGTCATTGTACAATGTACAGTGTTTCTTATATCCTGTGTCTTCTTTAATAAATATCTCTATTACTTGGCTGGATGCCTTCTGGACAGACCTTGATATGATACAGCCCCATGATACTGGCCTGAGTAACAAGACAATTAACTGACCAAGAGCATCTGAGAGATTTTGCTCAGGTAACTCCAGGCCCCTTTCTGCAATCTTGTTATCTGTTCACCAACCTACATTTTCTACTGTTTTAATAGGCATAGTACCTATTCTAGTCTCCAATGGTTCACCCCAGAATCTTGGATGTGACTAAGTAAAAGTCACTAATTGTTAAGTATTGCTAAAATAGTAAAAGCAAGAGCTTAGTATAAACACAAATTGACTTACTTCGTCCTTACAATAACTCTACAACTATTATCCACAACTGCATTTTACAGATGAGAAAGTTAAATCAGAGAGAGACTGAGGAACTTGCCAAAGATCATGCAGATGGCAGTGGCAGAGTCAGGATGGGAACGGAGCAGTCTGACTCCGGAGACGTGCTCCTCACCACTGTGTCGCACCACAGCCACGCTGCTCAGGCAACTGGAACTCCCAGGGGCAGTTTCTTATAAAACACAAGGAGGATTCATTCAATCATCGCAACTGGAAACCGTGACAGAACCTGCAAGGAGGAATTGTTGGTGCTATCTTAATAATCACTACCATCTTAATAATCACTATGTCACAGATGTGAACCAAACCTCTCCCTCCACAAAACTCAAAAACTGGGTTTGATAAAAACGTTTCCCAAAGGGAGACAGAAAGGTCATTTAGCACTGCCCCTGGAAAACTTATGCACAGTTTGATTTCTTCTTGAAACCATTTTCCCACTAGGTAAAGACATTTTCAATAAATCATTGATTGTACTCTCAATCTGCTCACTTCTCATGCAGAGAACAGTCAGAGTAATATGTACTATAAGCAAGATAAAATGATCTCAAAAATTATTTTGTAGTTTCAAAGTATAGAAATTATTTCTGGAGGACTGTATTTTCTGCATATGCTGAACAATAGGAGGTCACTAAGAATCATGGGAAATAAGAAGACAGGATTCAATTTATTTAGTTCCAACCAACTAAAGCACTGCTCACATATTATTGGCAATTGCTGTTAAATAATACAACTCCCCTTATGCATTAAAGGAAATTTATTTTACTTTCTGTCTAAAAGGATTAATGGTTTACTACTAGTTACTAGTTGATGTAATACTTAAGGTTCCTCAGGGCTAATGACTGGGCAGGACATACAGTATTATTCCAGACCAATCATTGCTCAGTCATCTCTTTCAGGGAAGATTCTAACCAATAAGAAGAAGCCTAAGGTTCTGAGCTGAAAGCCAAGTGCCCCATATATGCCTGGGTGATGCGGAGGCAAGTTACACTTTTTTAGAAGAAGGCTCCAGGTGGTAAGTTAATCATTTCTGGGCAGGGTGGGAATTATACTTAGTATTATATCATAAAGGAAATTCTGAAGAGTAGAGTAAGGGCAAGGCTGTCAAGGACTATAAAGAGAAGTGGGATATTCCATAAAAACTAAGGAGATAACAGATTCACTTGTGATTTCCCCAGAAAAGTTTACTTAGGGTTGAAGTTGAAAATTTTTTACTTCAAATAGTTCTACTAATTTCTAAAGAGAGGTAATAGAAATTTCTTTGAAAAAACAAACTCTAAGTATATTTTAATAAAATAAGGCTCTAAGATGGGGTTATACCATAGATTTTGAAAATGATTATAGTTTGTTTATCTGAAAGTCAAATATAAATTTCTCAGTGAAGATTGAGAATATTTCATTAAAGAGAATCAGTAGAACATGATTACTTAACCTACATATTGCATATGACTTTATTGAGGACTGTGATTTATATCCTTGAATATTCATATGTTATTTTAAAGATTTTATAATAGCATTTGGAAAAACAGACAAATTTATGAGCAAATCAAACATTTTGAAGGCTAGTGAAATATCTGGTAATTTAGAGAGACATCATCTTGACAAGACATTTTATAAACTAACAAGAATTCTTTTTAGAAGATTAAATATTTTAACATTTTACTTATTTGATGTATATAGATATCAATCATGAAACACTTCACAGTTCCAACATTTAGAACTGTGTTTCAGGCCAAGAATATTCTCATCAGCTCTTACTGAACTAAATTGGTAGTTATATCTTTTCTAAAATCATACTGAATCCAACTACACAGGATCTAAGCAAATACTACAAACATAGGTAAGATTTAATGACCCCATCAAAAATTCTGTTTGCTGAAACAAGTCCCCAGTTATTTATTATGAGATTTAATTGCTCAGGTGGTTAGGGTTCCTGGACATGTAATTTTTAATGAAATGAATTTTTAAATTATAAGTCTTGTGAAAGAACACTGTTTTCTCTCATCCCCATTCCTATTTAAATATCTTCGAACAGGTTTAATTTTCTCTGTCAGCCACAGCTTTGAAGAACAATGTGAAGATTGTATAGGAGACAACACATCAAGAATCTACTTCTTGAGTTCTTCTAAAACAAAAGCCAGGAGCTCCCTAATGTAAACACGTTAGTGTTTATTTTGAGGAGGAAATATATAGATTAAAAACAACCACGACCACCATCAAATAGCTGAGTCCCCCCGCCCCAAAAAATACCTAATTGGAAGATGTCAGTGAACAATTCTTCCAATGTGTTTCTGGACTCAGTGCCCAGTAATACCAATCGCTTTCAAGTTAGTGTCATAAACGAGAGCCACGAGAGCAGCGCTGTGGTGGACGACAGCGACCCTCCGCATTACGAGGAAACCTCTTTCGGGGAGGAAGCCCAGAAGAGATTCAGAGTCAGCTTTAGGCCTGGGAAACAGGAGTGCTATGACAATTTCCTCCAAAATGGAGAAACCACCAAAACAGATGCTAGTTTCCATGCTTATGATTCTCACACAAACACATACTACCTGAAAACCTTTGGCCACAACACGGTGGATGCTGTTCCCAAGATCGAGTACTATCGCAACACTGGCAGCGTCAGTGGGCCCAAGGTCAACCGACCCAGTCTGCTGGAGATTCATGAGCAACTTGCTAAGGTAAGGTTACCGGCACAAGCAGGGAACCTCCCTTCCTCCTGCAGATGATTTCCTGATCTCCAACAACACTAGGAATATAAAAGGGTCCAATGAAGAGGTCTATTTAAACCGTCTATCTTACTTACTCGACGGTCCCTAGTTTCCAATTCACAGAAAATACACAAAAGTGTCTCACAAATGTTTACTGACTGAGGACAGAGAACTAGAGAATTGACTGAAAGTTAGGCAGTATGTTGTAGCTTGTTTACAATTGTAGGCTACTCAATTCACATTTGGTTAAACATGTCAAACAGAATACTAAACTGATTTCACTTTAGGATTAATGCCTCCACAACAGCTGTAAAAAAAAAAAAAGAAAAAGAAAGAAGGAAATCCTGATGCTTATGGTAGTTAATACTGTGGTGCCAGCCTTTATTGCACATGGGTATTTTTTACACTCTTTAAAGAGACAGCAGAGATTTGTTACATTCAGCATTTTATCCCTTCCTCTTCAAAGAGCTCTGCCTGAGGCTCCGGAGTGCACTTAAGCATTTAGAAGTAACTAAATTAAAGTCCAGGAGCAGCAGATGTGGCTAAACTTCTTTTTATTTAAAGAATATAGTTAAGGTTCCCAAATTTTCCAAAAACATGACACAGCACTTTTTCTAATCTGGTAGCAATTTATAAGCTTCGTAGATTTTTTCTTCCACAACTTGCTCTATAATACCTTGATGTACTTTATCTTCGTGTTCTTCTGGAACACAGTTGGGAATTAATATACTTCTTTATGGATATAATTAACCTGCTAAGAAGAATAATTAGCTGTCACATATCCAAATATAGTTTACCCTTACCTAAGTTTTGAGATAAGAAAAAATTTATTGGGACAATGTTTCAAATTCATTCGTTCATTCAACAATTTTTAAATTAAATGATTATCTACTCTCGGGAATCTAGGAATACTGATCTCATGAAAGATGCTGATAAAGGTGAAAATCTCCTTTTGGCTTCTGCTTATCCTTCACTTCATGAGGAAACCCATTTCCAAAACTTGCTCCCCGTAGCTGTTTTAAGGTTCCCAACTCTGGTTTCTACCAGTGGAAAGAGGAGGAGCCTGTGCTCTGAACTGTGCCGTGTGCCCCCTCCCCACCAGACCTGACCATTCTGCGTGCTATATCGGTAGCACTCTGCTACTCGGCCTGTTTCTTTATAGACATGAGATTTAGACTTTATCTGGGATGTTTGATACCATAATCAAAATAAGTTAGTAATGTGGCAATGTTGAACCACATGACAGCCCCCATGAAGATTTTTGAGAAGGGGGCAATTTGAAGCTCCTGAACTCAGGCTGAGGTGTCACTTTCCTTTTCTATTTGAGGAAAGAGGAATGAATAAAAAATGGGAGAGGAAAGAGGGGAAAGAAGGCTGAGAGAAGAGGGTACAAGGAGTTTACAAGATGGGGGGCAGAAAGGGAAATTTAGGGTATTATAAAGAGATTTCAGCTTACTCTGAAGAAGCGAAATGAGCCTGTCTTCTTTAAAAAGACCTGAAATTCTGTTCACCATACTCCACACCAGTACACATTTTTAGAGCTGATTTTTCATAAAATTGTGATTCAGATTTCAACATTCTTATTCACCCTCAACTTACAACAAAAGAAAATAAAATTTTAACTTCATTAATAAGGGAGTGGAGTAAACTCACATTGTCCTTGGGACTGATATTCTGGAGAGAGAAGAGTAGCTTATGTACAATTCCTGAAGCCATAACATGTAAATCTTTAAATATGGGGAGAAAAACTCTGAGGGAACATTGTTAAAAGCCATCTGATTCAGTAGCAATGCAATAGCTACGCTTGACAGATATGATAGCTGTTTGGGATTCAGATTATTTTTAATAGATAAAATGAGACTGGGGATTTAATTTTGACTTTTATCATTTTTCTCAGATACAAAAGCATAGCAAGTTAAATAAATTAAAAATCAGGTTTATGGCCTATGCCCTGAAAAATCATTCTGAATTAGTATAGTAATACATTAGTCTTTTTATGAACTTGATCCTCATTGTCTAGGGTACTTCATTTTGATTGAATCACACAGAAGTATCCACATAGCCAACTTGTGAGCAGAATTCAAATACAACCACGGACTTTGCAATAGGCCTATTCCTATAGCCAGGGCCATTGTAGTGTCACTAAAGTTGTAGGGCAAGTCTTTCTCTCTGTGTTCTACCCTGCGATAGCCTTTGGTTGCAGACATTAACTGTTGTACCTTCTTCAGTTCAGCTCTTTCTTCCTTGACAGTGAATTTGCCACTACTATTCCCCCTGCTTTTCACTACCCACATCCACAAATAAAAGATGAAGAACTGCCCCTAATGTAACAGTAGTGCCAGCTTCCTGTGGCCCTTGACATTTTCATGACAGTTTCTCAAATCACAACTAGAGCAAACATTACATGATAAATAAAGATATGTCACAGATTTTGTGTGCAAAAAATTGTGAATGATAGTGTTAATTTAAAAGTAGAAAAAAAGTAGTTGACATATTACATGTTTGGCAATCTTTTTTGTATCCATGATTATATTGCTTTAAAAAGCCACATAGGAACAGTCCATTTATACTAAAAGGCAGAATATATATAGTAAGAAAGCAATTGGATTTTGTGCAAACTGTGATTATAATTTCCAAGTCAGAAAAAATTACGTGACAAATTTGTCTTAATAGATAAAATAGAAAATAAGTTTCAAAATATTAAGTTTCTATCTAAAGCGAAACTGTAGCAGTGATAGATATTGACAGAATGTGTAATCCTAATGATTTGAAATCAAAGATGAAGAAATCTTTTTCATTATCTATGTCCTAAAGAGTTAAATGCCTATATTGGTGACTATGAATTAAGGATTTCTGAAAACTCTAATTAAAAGCAGGAAAACAAGCCCTGGCTGGTGTAGCTCAGTGGATTGAGCACGGGCCTGCGAACCACACGATCGCAGTTCGAACCGCGATCGTGTGGTTCGATTCCCAGTCAAGGCACATGCCTCGGTTGCAGGCCGGTTCCCTGCAGGGGACACACAAAAGGCAACCATACATTGATGTTTCTCTCCCTCTCTCCTTCCCCCCTTCCCCTCTAAAGATAAATAAAATAAAAATCTTTTTTAAAAAAAGCAGGAAAACAGTACTTCATCCCCTACTTGCTCTACAGTTATACAAGCTACATAACTTCAAATGATCTTGCAAGATGCTTGTGAATACTAATGTCTTTATATGAATACAACAAGTCTAGCATATTGCCTCCAGTGGATAGAAACTCAATAATATTTGTTGGTAATGATGATGATATTTTTATGCTAGCTAATTTCTATTTAAAATATTATTTAAGTAAAATATACACCAATCCAATATTTTAACAAGTACTAAAATATATATAATGAAATATCTCTTACATAATGTAAATATTTAGTTATTCTCTTCAAGGAACTCATTACTGAGGGTTTCTTAAAAGTCCCTCCTTAAATTTTCTATGCCTATAGAAATATACACACACACACACACACACATATATATATGTGTGTGGGACATATATATATGTGGGGGGGACAATATGTCTCATTGTCCTATTCTCAGCTGTTTTCACTTAACAATGGACTTTGGAGATCTTTCCATATCAAAACATGTATAGTGATTATTAGCTATCTGGCAAATATTAATCTAGTATTTTTTAATGTGTAAAGCTAATCCCATTTTTAGTATCCAGCCTAATTCTTCTAGCTACTTTTCCATGCAACTCCTTTTCAGCCTTACTAACAACCATTGTTGTTAGCATTTCAAAAAAGATATAATTACAAGGGAATCTAGAAAATATATAGCCTTTCTGTCAAAGTCAGTGTTCTGATGTCACTGAAATAAATTGTTTATGAAAAGTATGAAATATTAAAAATTAAAATGGAAATATTATCTTAGGAAGCCAACTGTTTACAAATTGATTCAGCAGAATGACTTCACATTTGGGTCATTAGGTTGTTAAGTAAAAGAAATTTACGAATAAAAGCATTAAGTATGACTCTGATATATATAATAAACTATATATGTATCAGGCATTGTGCTCACACTTAGCAAAATCTCATTCAATCCTTTTTTTTAAAGATTTAAAAAATTTATTTACTTTTAGAGGGGAAGGGAAGGAGAGAGGGAGAGAAACATCAATGTATGGTTGCCTTTTGTGCGTCCCCTGCTGGGAACTGGCCTGCAGGGAACTGGTCTGCAACCCCAGTATGTGCCCTGACTGGGAAGCGAACCGCGATCATGTGGTTCGCAGGCCCGCGCTCAATCCACTGAGCTACACCAGCCAGGTCATTCAACCCTTTTAACAATTTTTCAAGTTAGGCAGTTCTATTATTTTTATTTTATACATGGTGAAAGTTTTATAAAATCCTGTGGATGTTAGAAGAGAAAACAATCATTTAGAGAACTCAAACTTCCAAGGTCAAGAAGCAAAGGTCACATAGTTAATAAGTTGAACCCGTGCTGACATGACTCCGGAGTTCATGCCCTTTAGAACCTATTTCATCCTTAGCCTGCTCTCCCATAGTTCTTTGCCTCAGCTTCTTCTGTGGTGATAGAAAATCCCACAAAGAAGAAAACGCACCTCAGTCATGATGGATTTAGCAGAAGATCCCAATTCCTTCCTTATTTTGGGACTGCCTCAAGAGATTATGGTGCTTTCTGTACAAAATTCAGTAGGTCTCAATTTTCATTGTCATCATCAAAAGCATTTATGAACAATTTATTTCTAAGAGGTACTGTATAAAGTGAGTTAAAGAGGTTTAGATCTCTACTCTCTAAAATTTTATTTTATAAGTCAAATTGCATTGCTATGGGTAGAAATAAAGAATATGTGGTCAAAAAACATTAAATCACATAAGTCGATGTACAAATGCTTATCTTCTATAAAAGGACAAACAAAATGTACAAATGTGTTCTCTAGAAAGTAATCTTTTCTGAAGTGTTTCAAAGTTCAGATT